AAACCACTTACGTCCTGCTGTTTCGAGGATACGTCTTCAATTTTTCTTTCAATCTCGGTGACAACATCATTTGTTTTTTTTATTTCGTTTTGCAGTTCCTTAATCTTGCCAACGGAGCTCTCGAGACTTGAAACTCTGCGTGTCAAGTCACCGATTCCCAACGACAGTTCATTTAGTTTGTCAGTGGTCTCTTTTTGATGTCTTGCATTGTCAGAAATAACAGTGTTCAGCTTCTGAAGTATTAGGTCAAGCTTAGAGCTATCGCCCTCTTTAGGGCCGGGGCCGGGGTTAGCTTCGATGTCACCAGAACACATGAGCAATTTGGCGATGCAGAGAGTGAGCAACAGGATACGAGCACTTGGAAAAGCCCTGCGCAATAATAAGGCACCACTTTGTAACCTCGTGGGCACTCCCTTTGGTCTCACTTTGTTTTTTGGACAAAAAGTACCGACACGGGCCCTGTAGGTACAAATGTCGACGCCCATTGCACACAAAAATCACAGGGACAACACTTTGGGATTTGCGGCAAAAAAGAAGCGGGTAATAACAACGTGGTAGGATTTCAACTCACCTAGAGCAAAGATAAGTTCAAAATTAGCGTGCAAAGCGCTAGGCCGCAAATCCCGCTTGAGGCGATGTGAGCACTTCTTTTGAAGGGTCGGTGATGCGGTGTCGCTAGTAGTCCGGATGGTTCCGATATCAGGGCAAGTGGGCACTCCCTTTGAGACCAAAGGGAGTGCCCACTTCTTTCTGAATTCAACGGTATAAAGTTTATAGAAATCCTTGAAGAATAATCTCATGAAAACAACCGTAAGGCTAGGCATGTAGACGAAAAATGCGAAGCTGAGAAAATTGCAGTTGAAGTCTTGACACTCATTGCATAAAATTGAGTAAGGGATCCCATGCAATAATGTTCAGCAATATGAAGCATAGTTCTATCTGAACAAATTGAGATGAAAAATTCTGCAATCCGTTCACAAGAACCTTTAAAAAATAATATAAAACTGAGAAATAATGTCTGCAATGTAAAATAAAGTTATAAAAGAATGAGTAGACTCTATAAGGGACAACGGGAGGAGGCACCAAGGGTTGCACGTTCCGAAAGCAGATTTTGTTTGGCCCTGAAAAGGGCCTTTGTTCGTGTAGCACTTGAAAGGGGAGCCCCTCACAGCTGTCCAGGACTGTAGTCCCCAGCTGTTCCAGTTTGGTGTTGCCTGGAGAACCTCTGCTTTGCATTGCTGCTGCTCTGGTGGGCAGCGCTGGCCTTACGCAAACACAGATTGTCCTTCTCCATGCTTTGAGAGCTTTCATGTCCACTACAATGAACTGTGTCCCAGCGTCGCGCGTCTGGCCTCCTGTGGTGATGCCAAGAAGGTCGGATTTGCGCTGGGTCGCCGACTTTTCCGATAGCGCACGCTTGCATTCGTCCGATCGTGCGACTCGTTGCGCCTGCTCGGCCGTGTAGTATGCGGTGTCGACACGAACCGCGCTCGCAAAGCTCGACAAACTGCCGCTGCTGCATGGAGTCGCGATGTCTCCGGCTGATGTTTCCGGAAGATCCAAGGCATCCGGCGGTGCCGATCGCGGTGGTGTCAATCGCGGTGGCGCACTTGCAGCAGACAGCTTCGGCTTCTTGTTCCACGGTCGCTTCCTCTTCCTTCCGAACGCTTGCCGCGTGCTCGATTTCAACCGAGCGTCGTCCGGCATCTCGAGAACTCGAAGCGAAACAAAACACGCGCGACTTCGTAGGAAAACGAACCAACAATATTCAACGCAAGCGCGCAAACGGGAACTAAAACGTGCGCTCGACCACGGAGGAAACAAAGCAGACAGGCCTAAGGAGACGGGCCCAGGAGCAGACGACGCGCCTCTCGCCAGCGCGGGAACGGAAAGGAGGAAAGGAGAAAAAGAGCGGAGGGGCGCGTTTAGGCCAATAGCAGGGGCGCTAGGCCAGGCTAGGCGCCGCGCGTGCTCTGACGTATGGGCACCTTGCTAGCCGGCCAATGAGCGATCGCAATTGGGGCCTTCGAAACCCGCGGAATGCGGACGTTCCCCGATGTTGTCGCGATAATGAATGGCATGGGGACGTGGGGAAAATAAGCAGCTTTCCAACAAGACCAAGATGGCCGCGATCCGACGAGCGATCGCGAAACGCGCGGGGCGCGAAGTTCCACTTGTTTTCATTGAACTCGCTGTGTTAGGGCTCTGCGGGGACATCGTAAACATCATTTTTTGCATGCTTAGACATTGAATTCGACACTGAAACTTTGCAGGCAGGTACCTTAGACTACAATTAATCCAAATATGTGAATTTTGAAAAACGTGAAATTTCGCGTTTTTTTACCATTTTAAGACCCGCGTCTCCCCTTAAGGCAATAATCGAAAGTTCTGAGAATTCGCAGAAGTCTACCGTAACAATCCGGTCGTGTGGAGGGTCCTCGGCTATTTTGTCTTCAGTATTGATGAAGTGAAATTACTTTTTGATGCAACATTGGCACAAATTCGTCACATTTCGTTTAAATGTAGCAGGACGTAGAAATTAAGCGTAAGCACTTTGGCGCAGTCACAAATGGCGCAGCAATCACATCACTGCACGCAAGACGAAGCCACATTTTTTCGCTGGAGTGCGAGGTGGCAGCACCGTGAAAGCTCACCCAGCCCGTAGAGTGTAGCACGTATCAGTCGACGCCTATACTCGGCGACAACTTTTCTTGGCAATGCAGTGGAAGGTACAGGCCCGCGTCCCCTTTCCCATTTAGAGTGTGCGCGGGCTCTCCTCCTCTCCCCGGAAATGGGGGAGGAGGAGAGCCTGCGTACACTCAAAATGGGAGAGGGGACGCGGGACGTACCTTCCACTGCATTGCCAAGAAAAGTTGTCGCCGAGTATAGTATAAGAGTTTTGGGCTCAGCCTTCCAGTTGTTAAAGAGGAATAGAGGAAAACCGGCTATCGCCTGTTTGCACTCTGCACGATGTACCTCTCGACTGCGGGTGGGACCAAGAAGCAACTGCGTTTACGCTCTTGCCTTGATGCCCTTGGCGCTCGTGTAACTTGTCATAGATGCGGCGCCATTGTTGTTTCTGTGCCTCCTCCCAAGCGCGATATTCCGAGGGTATTCGCGCCCTTTTTCGCTTCCACTCTCATACAAACCCCCATGCCCGGTCCGTACTCCGTCTACGACGAGCCTTTTTAGCGCACCGTAACCGAGAGCCGTGTTCCTTGGACCCGCCACAAACTTTCTGAACCGTAGCCGGCGGCATGAGAGTTTGTCCGCTCATACGGTCGTGGGCACACACCAGCACAACGGGGTGTCGGCTACAGTTACTGTCGAAGTAAGGACGAAGGGGCTTCTCTTTGGAACGCCAGGCCTCCGACACGCGCCCGTTGCATTCCGGTGCACGCTTTCGCTGCATACGCACACTCGAGCCATTGGGAGTTTTTGCGAAGGATGACTGTGCAAATTCAACAAGGAAGTACCCACTCACGGCCATTGCTGTAAAAAATTACCGTAAAATTCTGTAAGGACGCCCTTCCCGAGAGATCGCCCATCACCTTTTTCTGGCTAAGTATCTGTAGCATAAAAATTCCGAAACATTGCCCACCCCCGATTCCCGTGTGACGTCAAGCAATGTCCGAAGTGAATCGCACATCAACGGCGCTATCTGCAATACCGGTATGTCTGAGAAGCAAGTTCATAGCGAGTTCCCGCATTTTTGTCTGCGATCTGCCCACGGGATATCGGCTCCCGTAACATGCGAGTTATTCCTGCGTCTATATTGCATCAGGAAATGTGAATCTGCTGCGTTCGCGATTTACGGTATCCGTTCCCGAGTTTGTACCGGATTCCGCCGTTTTTGTCCGTGATCTATGCGCATGATATCGATTCTTAGTTGTAACACGCACGAGTTGTTCCTGCGTGTATATTGCATCGTGAAATTCGAATCAGCTGCGCCTGTGATCTGCGGTATTTGTTTTCGTAACATGTGAGTTTGTAGCACATTCCACAGTTTTTGTCCGCGATCTGCGCGCACGATATCATTGTCCGTGACAAGCCAGAGTGTAGCGGGTTCTTGCGTGTTTATTGCACCATAAAACTTAAATCTGCTGTGTCCGCGATCTGTGGTATCTGTTCCTGTGAGATGCGAGTTCTCGGCGGGTTTCCACGAGTCCTTTGCACCGTGAAACGTGAATCTGCTGCGTTCGCCACTTGCGGTATCCTTTCCCGTGACATAGGAGTTTGTAGCAAATTCCTGCGTGTTTATCGCATCGTGAAATGCGAATCTGCTGTGTCCGCGATCTTCGGCATCACTTCCCGCGTCACATTGTTTGTAGCGGGTGCCCCTGTGCTTATCATTAATTTTTGATAAAGTTTTGCTCTGGCATCCACAGAGATAGCCATCCCCATGTTTTTCATCATTTATCTCTTCATTTTGGGTGGGCGTTCTTACGGGATTATATGGTAAGCATGTCTCGATCATATCTGATAAACTCGGAGATGCGCGGATGTGTTGCGAACGAGCTGGGCAAATGCTGCGTGCATGTGTGATGTCACTTGACGTTACGTGACTCCTCACGCGACACCCCGACGTCACGGTTGCGTAAGAAATGTACGGACAGAAACCGAGAGAGAGGAGGAGACGAGGGCAAGCGGGGAAGTCAAAGCACCGAGCCCTGGTCGGAATGATTAGTGGGTGGACTCGCCATTCAAAAGCAATCACAAAACGCTGGTGTTCCAACGTATTCGAACCGTGAGTAGAGACTTTGAATCTACTCGCTCCTCGTTTCGACCAGAGCTCGATGCTCTAACTTCTTCGCGTGCTCTTATCTCCTTCTCTGTGTCAGCTTCTGTCCGTGAAGAACATATGGGGACGTGCCGCTCATGTGACCATGACCTGTGCGTCGGTTGAGCGCGACGTGTGACTCAATGTGTCACTTCTCTCGTGAAACCGAGCCCCATGACACGTTCTGCGTTTAAACGAAGAGAGAGGAGGGTGATGGTACCAGGGGATTGGGCCGGAACCGGTACGCCAGCATCATGCGCTTGCGGTACGCCTCGTACTCGTCGTCCCCGGCGGACACGTCGTCCGGTCGACCCTGGCCCAGTCCGGCATTGTCCACCGGTTGGAGGCCCCTGCGTGCAGAGCAATTCCAAACGCTGCAATCTCCTTCACCCTCGTGCGACGTCGACCCTCATCAACCGGGAGCGACAATCTCTACTCCCCAACAAAGAAACAAAACATTTGTATGTGCCAGGATAGGAGACGCATTCACAAAACAAAATCTCTCTGAAACAAAAAGAAAACCTTTGAGCGCAATACGCTGACAAAAAAGCACGCTTCGGAATCGCTACGAACCCGAAATGTGTCGCCCGACATGGATACTCTGCTCAGTTTTTATTTACTCGTTTATTCGGAGAGAGCCACTTCATGGAACTAGGTTGATGCAAAAAAAGAAAAAAACTATCAATAGTCACTGAAATATATGTATAAAAAAAAGAATGTCAAACAGAACTTTAAACACTCTTAATTACTTAAAGAGCCCCTGAAAAGAAAAGGAAAAAGTTTTTTTTTAAAAAGTTTGGTTGGGACACGCGTGTCGAGAAATAAATTTTAGGCGAAAGAAAAACATTTTTAGAGCAATACTGATGGCGAGAGATTTATTTCAAATTCTGCGTGTGAAGTCCATGAAGTCACGGGTAATTCCGGAATGACCATCTTGGTCGTGAAGGCGAAGCTGACCCACCTCTCCTCCACGCGCCCGAAACGCCGAGAGAAAAAAAGTGGAAAGAAGGTGACTGCCGACTAAATCGCGTCTCCCACCGTCAATATTGCTCTAAGAAATTTTTTTTCTTTCACGTAAAATTAATTTTTTGACACGCGTGTCCCAATTAAACTGTATAAAGAAAACTTTTTTTTCTTCTTTTCAGCGGCCTTTTAAGGGGGGGAATCTGGCAACAAGCCTAAACTTTTTTTATTTTTTGAGCTGTCTGTATGAAATTTTCAGGGTACATTCATAGCACGTATATAAGAGTAACTGCTAAGTTTCATAAAGCTGTCTGTGCCCATGGGTTCTTAAGTTACACATTTTTTCAACATGGTTCACTTGCTTCCTTTTATCCCAGGCCTGGAGAAATAGCAAAACATAATGGGAATGTGAAATTTATTACGGTGAAAGCCTTATATGTCTCATCATGCAATCGACCTTTAAAGTCCTTGAGCGAAAACACAACGGCAACATGAAAAGTAAGAAAACACGTCAGCAACACGAAAGGTACCAATGAAACGGTGCCAAAAGTGTGTCGTCAGAAAGCGTGCTGTTTTCGGGGGTTCGCTATCGTGTTTACATCGGCGCTTGGGCCTTCGCCTTCAAATCATCTTAGGGACAACATAAGAGACCCTGTGAATTTTTATAAGCATTCCAGGATAGACACCCCAGGACATGACAGAGCCCTTTTTAATAATTTCCTTTCGGAAGATTTTTTTTACACTACACTGAATTGTATGTTGCTGGTCATATCCTCATCCATCAAATTTAATTTCAGTGAAGTCTAAGCTCGTTATAACAGACCTTAATTTTGACCAAGATTTCGTTCTGTTGTAAAGGGGGTATGTTGTATGCAGGTAGGAAGTTGAGTCAATGGTACATAGAGGAAAACCAACCGAAATTTACAAACCGGTATGTTACTGTATTTACTCGATTCTAAGCACCCCTTTTTTTCACACCCATGGTATTCAAAGAGGGGGGGGCGAGTGCTTAGATTCGAAAAATGCCCCGAAAATACAAAATTTGTACAAGAAATATGAATTTATTATAATCAAAATAAAAGAATAAATGTTCGAAAGGAAATAAATAAAATAATGACTGGAGAGTAGCCCGCTTGCCATCAGTTTGCACTACGGCCGACTAGTTGCTCTTGCGACTACGGTAGTCTTTTGAGGATGATGTAGGACGCAAGTTTCCGACCGTCGGCTGTGATGCACAGCATTACGGTCACCCTTTGCTTCTCACAGCCAGTCGTACGCACTTTTACTTCTCGTTCTACTTTCTTTCTACTTCGTTCACAGTGCACGTCCTTGGCATGTCGATGTACACGGGGGTCTCACCGGCATTGCCGATCTGCCCGAGTCCGTAGCGAGATTCGCAACGCAGCCTCATCACATAACGTTGGAAGTTGACAAGCTTGTCCTCGAATTCCACTGGGAGCTTCTGGCAGATAGTTGTGCGGCGTCTCAAAGAGAAACTGTTCCTCTTCATCATCCACTCCACCCAGCCTCGGCTTGCGCAGAACGCCGCACTCCGAACTGTTCAGCAGTGCTGTGATTTCCGTTGTCTTCCGCGTAAGAAATAACCATTCTCTTAAACTTCATTGTGTATGGAGTTCGCTTCGCACTCACGACGGACGACTTCCGCAAACCACGTGCACACAGTGAACAGAATACGATTGCGAGGCCAACGCGGACGAATAGGCTTAACAGACTAAACAAGCGACTGCAACAAGCGCAAAGAGACTAAACAGACGAAACATCTTCGATAGAGGGTATGGCAACGCACCGCCTTTTGCAACCTGCACGGATGCGAAAGTGGAAAATGGCGGTATGTGCTGCCATCTATTAACTGATGTTGAAACCAAGCGCCAGCGGCTGTTCGCGACTCTGGCGCTCAGCGATACCGGCGTCTCCTATCTCAAATTTCTTGTTGGGAGGGGGTTGCATACATTCACATGCAAACGTTTTTCAGGTGTTTACGTTTGAAAGTGGTGGGGCTTAGAATCGCGAAAATACGGTATATCCAAATGTCTGTTATAACCAGGTGTGTTGTAATGAGCTTAGACTGTATTATACATTTTTAATGGGATTTTTAAAAAAGGAAGCTTGTCCAGCCCTCACAAAGTTATTTAGAAACAAAATTTAAAAAGAAAACAAAAAGATTGCATGCAAATTTATTAAATTGTTTCCGAAATATTGCCGTGATAAGTGCCAATGCCAGCAGAAGAAAAATTAATTTTGAGAAAATGGCAGTTCAAAGTTGCACAGGCATTTTCAGCATTGAGCCCGTTCACGTGGCGTGATTCTGCTTGCCATTTTTATTCTCATGCGGCAAAGAGCTTGTGGACACTGGACACAGTACGCATGCACATAAGGCACCGTCCACGGTTTTCATTAATTTGTTTTCTCTCGAGCCAGCAACGCTGCAAACTAAAATCACGAAAATCGCAAGCAGCATTACGCCATATGAAACGGGTTTACCCGTGGAGTAGCTGGAAGTGTCTTTGCATACTTTCTTTTTGTTCTGCTGTTGTCCTTACATAATTTCAACAAGCCATAAAACGAAAAGAAAAACGTAGCGACACAATGAGCATTGGTATCATGCCGAGCAGAGGCTGATGCCGTTTCTGATGGTCGCCATGCAAAGAAGCTTGCATGGACCGCAAAGAAGCTTGCATGGACCACTTCCGTGCATCAAATGCGCGCACCGTCTCCTAATTCATTCCCCGCATCTCTTGCGGCCACGAAACACTCGGGCAAAGTATGCGAAACCGCTAAAACAAAGAGCTGCAAACAAAAGACTGTAAAGATGGCGAAAAGCCAAGTGGAGCTGATAAAGCGCAGTACCAAGCAGACGACACGAAGCGGCGAGACGTGCAGTAGCGGCGTAATAGCCATGGCAACGAAAGGAGAACAAACGCCGCGGCCAACAGTAGTCGCGCACTTCGGCCAATCACTGCTTCGCAATCGCAAGACGGGAAAACGCTGCTCACGCCAAAATTATGCTGTGGAAACTATTTTGACAGGTGGCAGAAAGAAGAAAAAAAATCTCGGCTTCAAAACAAGATCAAGATGGCGGCCAACCGCCAAGTTGAAAGCGAGCGGGAATTGCTCAAAGTCTGGCTCGATTTTGCATTTTCAGGGCGATTTGGAAGCCGTCGGGACCTCATGAATATTTTTTATACATGTTTTCTCAGTGAATTAGGTACTGATAATTAAAGAGGAGGTAGTTTATGAACATACAATCCAAAGAAAATGGTTTTCCGAAAATCGATTTTTCGCTTCTTCCTTTAATTTTCATGATCACATAATTTTTGCAAATTTTGCAATTCGAGAAAATATAGTGAAAAATCAGTCTTGCGAATATATTACTCCGCAGTAATGTATATATAGCATATTGTTTCAAGTGGCGAAATTGCATGTGCGCAAAGTAGGTAGTATCCACGAAACCCATGCTTTACGAAATTTGTGAAATATTGAGTCCACAAAAATAAAGTTGTTTACAGTATTCATCAAGAACTCCTCTGTGGGCAATCTATTCCATTCTTCAATAGTTACTCTGAAAGAAAAAAAAAAAAACACCCTCATAATTTCTTTTTCAATTTCGCTTTTCAGCTTCTCACTCACTTGTTGACCGGGGCGGTGATGCCGGCTCCATCTGTACCCAGGCCCTGCCCCTCGGCCCAGCCGAGCCTCTGGAGCATCTGGTAGCCCACATTTTGCTCCGTCAGCTTGAACTCCCGGTAGTCCGACAGGTCCGGGGGCCGTCCCTCTTTCAGGGCGTCGTACTTCTCCATGAAGCGCTCCAGCTCCTCCGGCGGCAGGAAGTCCCCGATGTGGTGTTTGCCCTTGCCCATCACCGTCAGCTCGTCCGCACGAGCTGCAATGCACCTCCGGTCAGCCAGTCATCCGACCGCTTGCCAGCGTTACCCGACCACATGCCAAGGTTGCCCGACTGTGAGCCGACGGCACGCCGCCGTCAGCATGCTGTCGTAAGCTGACTGCACAAAAACACGAGCTGACTACCTGCTGTCGGTGCCACTGTGTGCCAACCACCTGCCAACATAAGCCAACCGCGTGCCAGTGCCCGACTGCCAACGATACCCGAATGCCCATCGATATAAACCGACCGCATGCCGACTGCGTGACAACCACCTGCCGACATGTGCCAATCACGTTTCAATGTTGACCGACTGCCCGCCGACGTTACCCGAGGGCACGTCGACATTAACCAACAGCCCATCGACGGCAATCAACAACACGCAGACATTACCCGTCTGCATGCCAACATTAGCCGAGTGCAGGCCACGGCCGAGTCGATCTGACTCGGCCGTGGCCGTGTCAGATCGACTCGGCCGTCAGTTGGACGTGGCAGATAGAAAAATGGATGCACGTCCCAACTCGCGAGCACTCACCCCTGGTCTTTTCCATCTCCTTGGCTCGCTTCTTGTGTTCCCACGTGCCACCGTCCGTCTCCTCGTCAGAGTCGTACTCGTACTGCACGTTCCCCGACACTGCCCGTGCCTCCTGGGCACGCTTCTTGGCCTGCATCATCTCGAACAGGGCACGCATCTGCATGCAGAGAGAGACGACAGTGGTCTAGAGTTATTCCATAATCGGGAAAATACCAATATGCAGTTGGCAACCATGGTCAAGTGACGGAACATGTGCAAACAAGTAGCACAACTTTGTTTCTCGACCCGAGGGCCCGAGCCATCCAAGACCGAGCAGACATTGCAAACGGAGGAAAGGAAAGGGTCTAAAGCTTCCGTACTTCAACCCAAGTCAAGGCAAAACTAAACTAAACTTTGTTTCAGCTAAAGTCCAGACGCAGCCGATGCTACGAGCTAATGAGATGAATCAAACAGCGTCAAAAGTGCAAGACAATGGGCCTTTTCTGTTCACGATTGGTTCAGCAATGATAGAACAGGTAAAGAAACATGACGAACACCATGATGGTGTGATTTTGACGCTGTCCGTTTCGTTTCACTCAAGGTGAAAAAAAGTACAATGAGCCCCCACACATACCGTCTCAAACTCGGCCACTAATTTATTTGAGAAACTTGCCACAATAGGCACAATACCACCATCTTGCTGTTTGCAAGCACCTCCTCAAAATGAGATCAACAAAGAAATGGACACTAAGCATATGAGCTTCCCCAAAAATATTCTACAAAGGAAAGCCACACGAAAAAACCTCGGATCCCAAACCGAATTTGAGGACAAACTTCATCAGACCCCGTTCCTCAAACCCCGAAACTTTCCCACTTCCAAACTCAACGACAAAGTGGGTTGACTGACACGATTTCCAGAGGTTTGCATTTCTGAAATTTTCATCCTTCAGCTGAAAAGAAAATTTTCGCTGAAGCCTCAGTGCAAAGGTGGTTGAAGCTGGTACAAAAAGAACCGTTGAGAAACACCTTTCCGAGTTCTTCCTAGCGGCTACAGCTTCAAGGTCTTGCTACACGTTTCATCATGCTTTCTAACTATGGCAGCATAGAGGCTCTGTGGAACTCTATTCTGCTGTAGTGAGTGAAGCGTGCTACTATACTTTGTTTCAGCTTAAAGAAGAACAGAATCGAAACTTCAAATATCCCCAGAACACTTCAAAACGGGTGAAATATGATCAACATATCCGTAAATGATAATCACACGCTTGTATTTTCTGCGGATGCCTATATTTTTCGTTCCACCCGACAAATTCTGGTGAGCACTTCAAAATAAGCCATCGAGGCGCTTGCAACGCCATGGGCCCATGCATGGCCAAGAGTACCGTAATTATGATTGTCGTCATTAGGTGGCGCCAGCTTTATCGTCAACGCATTACAACCCCGCGAAGAAATATTCGAGGCATGGTGTACTAGAACTGAGAGGCGTGCGGAGCACCGCTCGCTCCTGGGCGCCTCCATCAGACACGCCGCGCCGTGGCGCCACCCGCTACCGATGGGCTTGCGACATAAAGCATTCCAACGAAGCTTGGCTCCTCCACCTAAAAGGTGGTATGGGGAAATTGTTCTACAACTGCTTTTCTTGCGTTTACGGACTAACGACTGGTGTTTGTGATGTGCTGTCATAAAGGGGACCACGTCTACACAAAGAAATAGGAGCCAAAATTTAGCTACCGTACCCCTTTAAAGGGACACTGACACCCCCCAAAAAATTTTTTTTATTTTTTGCCAGGCGCTTCATTATGGTGTCGGAGGACTACCCAATTAATATTTTGCAACAGAATAGCATATTTCTTTAATAAAGCCAAAAGACGCAACTGCTCGAAACCGAAACCGAAACCCGACGGAGGTCGGAGAAGTGGAGAGAAGAGAGTGACTGGCGGAAGTCACGTGGCTACACCCGACCGTCGTTTTTTTTCTTTTTTCTTTTGTCTCCTCTCCGGTAGCAGACGACAGGACATGCGGCGTGCGATGCGGCGTTCGGGAACTGCTTGCCGTGCGATTCTTTTGCAGTTATGTTTGTTCCGCTCGTTGTTATGTACTCCAAGATGAGTTGTTTTGTACATTGAGGAGTTGGAGATGAGTAGTGAGTGCCCGTGGTGAATTTCCATGATCGGCTCCGAAAAGAATACACCCAAGATGTTGCGTGAAGAGCTGGCTCACATGTCCTGCATCCGAAAAAAAGTGTCATTGTCGAAAGATCAACGGGATCGGGACCAATGGCTGGCTGCAATTCCTGTAGAACATTTACGGGCACCTCGGAAAGCGGAGGCTACCTGATTTATATGCTCCTTGCATTTTGTGGAAAGTGATTACATTGAGTTCGCAGGTGTCAAAACGGAAATCCCATACCGTTTAATTCAGCAAAGTATCGTCCACAACATTTGTTTGTTATTTTTTTGTTTCTTCAGTGATGATTGTAAAAAAAAAAAAAAGATGTGTAAACATCGGAAAATGTTTGAAAAAAAAAAAAAAATCAAGGGGAATCGAACCCGGTCCTACCGCGTGTGAAGCGGACGTCTTTCCCACTGAGCTACTGGGGCATCTTGATTACGGTGGATCTCTTTACTTAGTAATAATTCAGCCGGTAAACTGTAAGTTGGAAAGTTTGCTGTCGATTTTTCTCTAGCAAAAGCACTCCCGGGTCGAAGTCGGGAAGCACCACGCTTTGGGGACATTCGCACCTAGTAAAGAAATCGTACGCGTGCATATTCAACTCGAAGTAGAAACGTCGTGCTTGAAGTTTGCGCGAACGTTGTCTTCAGCCACGAGAAGGGAGCGACGGCTCGGCGGCGTCTTCGTGCAAATCGGCTTGGTGGCCGGGCGTGTCGTACGGGATGAATACCAATTCTTTTGATCAGTCCCAAATTTCTCTTTTAACGGTAGACAGAATTCGCCGGTACCGCGAACGACAGTTCTGAAATAGAGGTCCCACGCCCGTCGTCCGCTGCCATCGCCGTCCCCGCGAGTCCCACGATACGCGAAACGACGAACGCACAGAATGCTTCCGGTTGTCTGTGGAACTTTTTTTTTTCAATCAACGTATTTACAGCTTTTTAGAAGCCACAAAAAATGGGTTTAATATTTTTTTTTTATTTTTAATATTGAGTGTGTGTCTTCAGTGACCCACGACTTCGATTAAATTTGGTGGTCGCATCGATACCTTAGAAAACGGCCCGTGACCGCGAAAAAGAGAGTGAGCGAGACTCGAACCGGCCAATTCTTGATCGGCGGTTTTCGGGCGGAAAGAAACCGAATTTTGAGCCGCAAATTCTGTTCTGGGTAGTTGAGCCCTCATATGTTTTGTATGACTAACAACCTCGGCGAGCATAAATACCCTGTCAGTGTCCCTTTAAGGCAAGACACTGGTTCTAAAATCGACTTTTTTGTTTATTAATGGATTATAATGAAAATTAGTGTGTATATGTGTTTTGGCTTCCTCTTTTCAAATACACAATTAGTTCTGCAATATCTCAATTACTTTTTGAGTTACGAAGAAAATAATGAAGCCTAATTAGGTCATTTCTTACGACTCATTAAGGAACTTTCTAATACGAATTTTTTTGCATAAGTGATATGGATTTGTAGCTAAAGACCTGTCATGCAAGATGATGCTATTTATATTTTTGTAAAGATAGATCATTGTATAAAACTAGTCTAATTAGGTCAAGTACACTATTTACAAAGCTTAACGAGGTCACATTATCACTAATAATACAATTTCGGGCCCATACTGTCATACAAAAATAGCATCACCCTGCAGTTCACTTCTTTCTGAATTCAACGGTATAAAGTTTATAGAAATCCTCGAAGAATAATCTCATGAAAACAACCGTAAGGCTAGGCATGTAGACAAAAAATGCGAAGCTGAGAAAATTGCAGTCAAAGTTTTGACACTCATTGCATAAAATTGAGTAAGATATCCCATGCAATAATGTTCAGCAATATGAAGCATAGTTCTATCTGAACAAATTGAGATGAAAAATTGTGCAATCCGTTCACAAGAACCTTTAGAAATAATATAAAACTGAGAAATAATGTCTGCAATGTAAAATAACGTTATAAAAGAATGAGCAGACTCTATAAGGGACAACGGGAGGAAGCACCAAGGGTTGCACGTTCCGAAAGCAGATTTTGTTTGGCCCTGAAAAGGGCCTTTGTTCGTGTAGCACTTGAAAGGGGAGCCCCTCACAGCTGTCCAGGACTGTAGTCCCCAGCTGTTCCAGTTTGGTGTTGCCTGGAGAACCTCTGCTTTGCATTGCTGCTGCTCTGGTGGGCAGTGTTGGCCTTACGCGGATTGTCCTTCTCCATGCTTTGAGAGCTTTCATGTCCACTACAATGAACTGTGTCCCAGCGTCGCGCGTCTGGCCTCCTGTGGTGACGCCGAGAAGGTCGAATTTGCGCCGGGTCGCCGACTTTTCCGATAGCGCACGCTTGCATTCGTCCGATCGTGCGACTCGTTGCGCCTGCTCGGCCGTGGAGTAGTATGCGGTGTCGACACGAACCGCGCTCGCAAAGCTCGACAAACTGCCGCTGCTGCATGGAGTCGCGATGTCTCCGGCTGATGTTTCCGGAAGATCCAAGGCATCCGGCGGTGCCGATCGCGGTGGCGTCAATCGCGGTGGCGCACTTGCAGCAGACAGCTTCGGCTTCTTGTTCCACGGTCGCTTCCTCTTCCTTCCGAACGCTTGCCGCGTGCTCGATTTTAACCGAGCGTCGTCCGGCATCTCGAGAACTCGAAGCGAAACAAAACAAAACACGCGCGACTTCGTAGGACAACGAACCAACAATATTCAACGCAAGCGCGCAAACGGGAACTAAAACGTGCGCTCGACCACGGAGGAAACAAAGCAGACAGGCCTAAGGAGACGGGCGGAGACGAGCCCAGGAGCAGACGACGCACCTCTCGCCAGCGCGGGAACGGAAAGGAGGAAAGGAGAAAAAGAGCGGAGGGGCGCGTTTAGGCCAATAGCAGGGGCGCTAGGCGCCGCGCGTGCTCTGACGTACGGGCACCTTGCTAGCAGGCCAATGAGAGATCGCAATTGGGGCTTTCGAAACCCGCGGAATGCGGACGTTCCCCGATGTTGTCGCGATAACGAATGGCATGGGGACGTGGGGAAAATAAGCGGCTTTCCAACAAGACCAAGATGGCCGCGATCCGACGAGCGATCGCGAAACGCGCGGGGCGCGAAGTTCCACTTGTTTTTATTGAACTCGCTGTGTTAGGGCTCTGCGGGGACATCGTAAATATCATTTTTTTCATGTTTAGACATTGATTTCGACATTGAAACTTTGCAGGCAGGTACCTTAGACTACAATTAATCCAAATATGTGAATTTTGAAAAACGTGAAATTTCGCGTTTTTTGACCATTTTAAGACCCGCGTCTCCCCTTAAGTACAAATGCAGCCGATGCTACCTGCCAGGCATGCACCCACGTGCAGTGCAAGCATTGTTTAGGCCTAGATGCTCGTGCTTGAAGCGTCGGCTGCATCTGTTGTTAAGCCGAAACAAAGTATAGACCGACTGCCCGACTGACTGGGGACTGCAGACCCACCTTGCGCTGATCCTCCAGCTGCTTCCACTGGTCCAGGCTGAGGTCTGTCGAGCTGAAGACCTGCTTGGCGTATGCTATGAGTCCCGGATCTGGAACGAGGCAGAGCATGACGTCACGCTACTGTTCAGTAGAAGTTTCTTTTTTTTCCTTTTTTTATATTTTTCCAGAAAATGTATACCACAGCGAATCTCGTGTTGGCTCGCGCTTTTTTCCGGAATACCTGCGACCGACCACCAGGATTGCGATATCCGACAGCACGACATGCCGGCTTTTGCGACGTCGTTTGTTGCCACTTTGGGACCATGTTCGACGCACGGGCGGAATAGGACGCTAAAGACACCAGTCGAAGACGCATTCCGGGTACCGTACCAAAGGCGGGGAGTGCTGCAACCCTTTCCAACTCGTGGAAAGAAGTCCGGGTGTAGCTAGCATCGTTTCGTACGGACATCATCTCGTTCTTTGAAAACGCCAGAAAGAGGTGCTGTTGGCAATTTATGTTCCCACGGACTTCCGGTCGACCAAGAGGACTGACGATTCCCACAGTAACACCACACTGCTTCTTGTCCCGTTCGTGAAATATTTCATGACCAGTTCGGTTGGTTGGCTAAAGGACCGATTAGCGAGAGATTTGTTGAAGACCTTTCATTACTCCCGTAAAACAACCCGACCCCCCCTCCCCCTTATATGTCAATAACACAACATAAGGACTTTGTTCGATCCCTAACTTTGTGATTTCCGTGAGACTTTGTCCTCCCAGGAATTTTCACATCAACGAGCTCAGACGCCGAGGAAACCAGAAGTCTCTTGTGAGCCAAGGGATGGCTGTTGTTTGTAAACGGGTTCTTAACATGGCTTTCACCAACGTCGCATCAGCTGACGTTATGGTGGCCTTGCTGGTAGGTACACACCTCCTGCGGTATTCATTTCGCACTGCCTAATTTGTTGCTCTCACCAGAGGCCCGACGCTACCGGTGCAAAAAATAAGCACACATAAAGAAATAGCGCTGCAATGTGTGCCAACTGCAAAAACGAAAATACCAACAAAAAAAAAACTAGAAAAAAAACTGCCTATTGTATGCCTATCGCCATATTATTCATTGGACACTGTCATCACGCATGTCGTAATTCCTCATCCCGTTTCATATCTGTGTAACTACATATGCACGTCAGAATTTCTCTGCATTCCCATATATAGTATAGTAAGAGCTTGTCAATTCGAATTGCACGAGGATGCTAAAAAATATTCAAATTAAACAAGATCTGAACTAAAAAATATAAAATAAAGCTTGCTTTTGCACAGGAAACGCTCAGAACGGCAAACCTTTATTGTCCAAAGTAAGCAGTTATCATCATCTGCTTCTTTTCTTGGAAAGGGATGGTCATCAGCTTACGTTGAAGGTAACGAACCAAATGCAAAGCATCTTCTTTGCCCTCTTCAAAGCCGAAGAAAAAAAGTTTCTATGCGCTTCGACTTATGCCAAATGAGTTCTCAGAGTCCCAATTAGTGTGTAACATCATAATTAGCAAAATAATGCATTTTAAAACAAAGTGAATGTACACTCATCCATTCCGAATGCCTGTTTGCATACAGGCACCAAAGGCAGCATCCCTGCTTTCATTCCCACTGCATCATTGTGAAGCACTCTGAATGACTTTGTGAACTCCTATGAGTTTGTAATGTGATGGCGAACGACTTTTATGAACAATGTGCCTGCAATCAGTTCGTGATGTGATGGTAGCTGACTTTATGAGCTCCAAGGAGTTTATGTTGCGATGGAAAGTGACTTTTTGAATTCACAGTTGGCGGTGAGGTGACTCGGAAGTTTCGATGCAGCCAAACTGCTTGACACAGACAACCAAACCTCGCAAAGTGACTGGCCAATCGGTCTCAGCTGCCACGGCGATCGCCATTTGGTCCATTCAAATCTTCGAAGCTTTGAAAGGGTCGTTCTGAACCAGTCTTGAAAAGATTGCCATAGAACATTGTCGTACCAAAAGCGTTCCTTGCCAATACAGTCGCCGACCGATTTTTCGGACCCTGATAATTCAGACTTGTTCAATATTTCAGGCTTAAAGAAGGAACCGTGACCTAACTGACAGTGCATATTCACGAACAATGTTTCGGACAGCTTGAAATCCGAAAGTTTGATTTTTCTGAGAAAATCGTCACAAGTGATCAGCGGGAAATACCACTGAGAAGCGGGTATTTTGGATTCTGTGTTGACTGCACAAGGATTGGCTTGGTTTGGCAGCGCTACTCGAGTACTGCTAAGTCCTAACGCTAGATGACGCTGTACGGCTTTTTCTTGTCTATCGCTGCACGCCACTATCATTGTTGTTACCATTTTGCTCTGTTCAATTGCCATTATGGTCGTGGACTCGCACCTCTCATGCCAATCTCGTCTCGACGAATAGTGTTTTCGGACTACACTGGCTTGGACGTCATCGCCCGATCTGTTCTTCAGCTACCGTGATGTGTCGCTAAGAAGCGTAGAAAGTACTCGAACATAACGCTAGAAAAGAAGGCAGCGATTCTCGAGCTAATAGAAAGTTGCCAATCGCAATCAAAAGGCCTAACTTGAAACAAAGCGCACAGGCGTAACCTGAAGCAAGGCACTATTTACGGCTTTTTCAAGTCTGCTTAGACGTACTAAAGGCCGGTTTTTTAATCTGCCGATTTTTCGGACTGCTCCATTATTCTGACATTTTTTTTCGGTCCCTGCAAAGTCCCTAAAATCGGCCAACGTCTGCATAAGCATCTTTGGCGCTGTGGATGCGACCCACTCATCAATCGTGCTCATCTCCCCAGATCTGTTACAAGATGCGCGCTTGTTTCGCCAGTGCGTGGATAACGAAATCTCGGTGTTCGAGGAACGCCTCTACGAAGCTGCTTGTCGATAGCCCATTCAGACGGGCACACCAAGAACGGAAGAGATCAATGAGAAACTGCTCATTCAGTGAACCAAAATGGCGACCTTACGGGAGCTCGGTGCTACTCACCAAAAACCCGTCGACGTTAGGCGACTCACCCGACTGCACGAAGGAAGGCAGCTCCGCAGGAGCAGCGTCCTCCAGGGCGTCCGTAAAGGACGAGGAAGAGGAGGAGTTGTCCGAGGGCGCCCACCGGCTCTGCCGCTTGCGCTTGCGCGGGCCGCCCTCTGACGGCGCAGCGTCTGCAAAGGACCGGTTGTCTTGAGTGGCACGCACACGGCCGAATGGATGTTTTTCGAACAACAAGCGCCGTTTAGAGGTTTGTCCGCGAACCGCAAACGAAGAGCCGCCCGACTTGCATCCGCCCGCCAGAAGACGCTGGCATCGAGCTGTCCTATTGGTTTTCATTGCTTTTCGTGCCCTATATCAAGGGCGGTTTGCTAGTGATGCAGCCATCCTTCCCAACGGGTACGAGGAATTTCGAAATCGCGCGACTGGCTTCGTAACGGGGAAAAAGTACCTAGCATTCCAGCCGATTCCACTGGCAGACGCAGGTCTTGCCCATCAATTTTTGTATTTCTCGCTTAAAACGTCCTCCCCCGAAAATAACTTTACGTGCCACTCCTAAAGCGCACGAATGCGATTCATTTGACTTACATTTTCAGGCCTGGTCACCCTTTTTCTCTGCACAAAATCGGACTTGAATAATTGAAGCGAGGACAAACGTATCGGAAAATATTTGATGTGAAATTTTCTTTTATGGGTATCTTGTCCCCATGAAGCCGGATGTGTGACCAGAAAGTCCCTGTTGCGAGGATTTCAGCCAGCGGGAGAGGTACCCGCATTGCCGGCAAATTGCCCCAATGGTTGTAAAAACCTTTAAGCCTCGAGGAACGCCTTTCCCTTTCATTGATAGCCGAGGAGCCCCACCTAATCTCGGCAGTGACACTATAAAAAGTGCAGAAGCCTACACATCTAGTAAATAATAACACATACATTCTAGAGAGTGTTTGGAACAGTGGTTCTCAAGCATGGATGTGTCAGGGACCCCTTGGGGACCCGTGAAGGTGATGGGGGACCTCACGCCAGCGGAGGAAGGGGAATGGGAGGGGGGTTATAAAACAAGGCAACTAATTGCAGTGTGAAAAGGGCATCTTCTACTATTAGACAGGAGAAGTGAGAAGCATTAAGTAAAAGAAGGAGTGGATAGATACATGGTAAAGGCTGCACCTTTTATAACGGGTAGTAGCTTGCGCCACCTAGCTAAAGTCAACAAAAAGATTATTTTTTTTCTCAAGAGGGAGGCCGGGAGGGGGGGGGGGGGGGGGGGGGGAAAGGGGGTGTTGAGGGTTGAGGCAATGGCTTTGCGGGCCCCAAAAATGGCATCGCAGACCTCAGCGGGTCCCCGGAACCCCATTTGAAAACCACTGGTATAGAACATAGTCACGCATCAGTGGGCGGCTCAAATCTACTAAAACAGGACTTAAACTGGAAGCACACTTTACTTTAAAAAAAAACACTGAACCTAGGAAAAAGTTTTTTTTTTACCTGGTTAGGACGAAAATGTCTTAAAAATAATGTCCATAAAAAAAAATGTTTTTGCTCAATGTTTATGGTACAATATAAAATTTTTAGATTTCTGGGCGGAACCGAAACTGTACCCCTGTGGGACGATGATGATAGCATTTGTTCCCAACTAGTGTGTGTCCAGCAAACTCAAAGTACACACAAGTTGGGTACAAGTGCTATCATCATCATCCCACAAAGGTACCGTTTCGGTTTTATCTACAAATCGAAACATCGCATTAAAACGGAAATATTATGCAAAACATTTTTAATTTTTTTTATGAACTTTTTATTGTCATGTTCGTTCTAATTAGGCAGAAAACAATTTTCTTTTTCCCTACGTTCAGTGTCGTTTTAATGGTTGGGACGGTTGAGAAAATTTCCAAACTTAAGGAACCCATGAGGGTTAGGTTCCTACAAACCCAGCTTGAGAACCTGTGCTCTAAATTACCAATACCTCCCTAAAAAAAAAAAAAAAAAAGAATTGTTTAAAAATGAGGAAATACGGGGAAAGATAGATGCTGACAATGTTGATCATGCGGAACGGTGCCCTCCTGAAATGGCAACACCGGGAAGCAAAGCCAGGAAAAGGAAACCACTTCAGAACAGTCACAAAGAGACGGCTCGGGAGTGGAACGGCAAAGCTTTGCGTAAGGCAGCCCGGCCCCTCGACTCACCCAGGCGGCTGGAGAGGGGCAATGCCCCGTCCTGCTGTGCTCTCAGCTTGGCCGCACACAGCGCCTGCACCCGCTGCTCGAACTGCGCATACTCCTCTCCGGACTTGGCCTCCAGAAACCTGCGGCACATGCGTACGCTCAGCCGCCCGCTCTTTCAAAAAAATAGAAAGGTGGGCTAGTCGGTGCACTCTGCAAAAAGAAAAGCGGCAGGGAACGGGACAAGAAAGGCGAGACACACAAAGCGCTACGAGCAACTAAACTTTAATTAAAAAGACACGGGAATACATAAATGCACTCAAAAAGAATTTTAGTACACATTAAGGTATATACATTTCCGTGTTTTTTTTTTTTTTTTTTTCCAAACCGAAGTTCAGTTGATAGTAGCGCCTGAAGTTCAGTTGATAGTAGCGCTTTGTTCGTCTTGCCTTTCTTGTCCCGTTCCCTGACGCCTTTATTTTCGCCCATTCATTCCCCGCGAGATCTGACGCAGTAACCCTAGCCAAACTGGAAATCGACAAGGAAATCGAATTTGGGGTGGGGGGGGTTTACGCACCAAATTGATGAAGGCCGTTGGCACACCCCAGCGAAGAGCTGGGAATTCATTTCGACCGCCCGGGGATCTTTGAACGTGCAGCCAAAATCTCGGTTATATGACGCCTTCTCCGCACTAAGCCTCCGTCAAACTGTGGGTGCCTCAGCCGGGATTCGAACCCGTCACCCGGGCATCTGTAGGCCGGCGCTTTGCTTCGGAGCCGACGAGGCAGCGGGCAATCAATGAATAAGAATGAACCAACCGGCCTTGTTCATTTACCACCCGGCTGACAGTGCATGGAAGCCAAGAGCTAGGGGGTCTGGTCATAAGTCCACCTTCTGCTGCATGATCACCCTGCAAACCGTACCCACGCGCAAATCGGGCCCAAATGTTGAAAAGGAGGAGGACGATTGGTCTGGTGAGCTCGTAGCCCACCACCACACTGTCACCTTAAAGGGACACTCCAGTGCTTTTTGCAGAATTGTGTTTTTGATGGCACATTGTTTGTCGGTCTCTAGGCAATAAAAGTGACCAGTTCTAGATGGCGAGACATCCTAGTAAACTCGCAGCAATTTGGGCTTTAGTTTTAATCATTTTCTTTATTGATTTGCATGTAGACAATCAGTTACTGGCATCAATTTACGCATTGGTAAAATGCAGAAGCATGGGGAATGGCTCCGTAGACGTGGTAACTCAAGAAATACGGTTAGAGATATACCTGTGCCACCCAAAGTGGCATCGGCCCGGGCCATTTCGGCTGCTGAAAACCCGACGGCTTGAGTGCCAGCTGCAGTTAAACTTAGCTACGAATACAGGTTCATACTGCCACTTGATTGACAAACTTGTTTGAGCTGAATTATGACAAACTTATTACCTAGACACATTCTGTTATAAGTGATTGGGGAACTCAATCTTCCACTCCTCTTGTGCCAGCAGAGAATTTCTGGGTTAAAGTTTCTTTTTATTAGGAATGAATGGACTCGGTTCGTCGAGAACTCTCAGAAAGGGCCACGCTGCACTACTAATTTTAGAAAGAGCAAGCAACAACACTTTCCAGTGCTCCTTTTTCCCCAGAATGGCTGCAGACTAGAACAACCTCCCTAAGGCTGAATAAATAGGGCAATGATTCTTTCACACAAGTAACGGTTTATAGAGAAACCTTTTAAGCCCCGAATCGCTCCATTGATGACTGTAGCCTCCAACCCTGATCCTCAGCTCGAGCCCGCTTCTCATGTTATAGTCTTGCCGTTGTCTTCTAATGCTACACACAGCTTGCCTGACCTGTAAACCGGATCATAATAGAGACTTTCCACCATGCAATATACTACTATAATTTTAAGATCAAGCTTAGCACTGCAGTTGAGCCCAACCAACATGGAGCACATTCTCAGCGTTTCTCCTGACCTCTAGCAGTCTTCGCCGCCCAGCGGGTGCATAAGCAGACACCTCCGGGAGTGTGGTGCCAAAGCGCCGAGGTCTAGTTCAACCAAATGCCGAAAGATGCATTGCAACATAGTAGCTCCAGCTGGATGGATGGATGGATGTGTACGAGTGAGCCCAATAAATTGGGTGGCGGCTTGCGCCACCTAGCCAGTGTTTTTAACATCCACAGTTAATACCTATAGATTGCTTTATCTGTGCCATATCATTGCATTATCATTAGATGTGGCGCTGCAGCTCTCCTGAGCTGGAATAAATCACTATAACTACATTTTTCCAAAACAGTAATGTTAAGCCTTTGGATTGTAAGGCTGCTAAAAATAATGATCCATGCAACAGGAACGTACCATCGCTAACGTGTGCACGCACAATATTTATTCTTCCCTCGCCTTACACCGCCGGTCAAGCAACCACTGCTCGGTTATTTCCACCATCCCAACGTCTTGTTTCTCCTCGCTCCCCTAAAACCCCAATGCCTTAACAAAATCAGTTTAGCGTACGGCGACAGCGGAGGAAAGTCCTTTACCACAGAACCAACTGTTCAGCTTACCGTAGAGTGACCAAACGGCAAAGCCAGAGTGTTGCTTTTCTTTTCTTTTCGTCTCCAACTCCTCGTTGACTGAGAAAGAGCCACATGCACTAAATTTGAAGAAAGCGCTTGCTGGGAAGCAACCTCAAAAAGCACCAGGCTTGGGGCGGGACACACATGCTTCACTTTGCGCTCATGAATCATAGATCTTGTACCGAAGCGTGACAAGCAGGCAGCTTCTTGAACCTTTGGGCATTGTGCATGCCACTTAGGTATGTGTAAGTGTAAATGTGTTGTTTTTATAGTGCGAGCGCAACTTCAAAGAGGGCGTGAGCAAGCAAACGACACAACAACCTCAATAAACGCACATATGCGCATGCACGTGCGCACTTTTGAGAGATTTGCGAGATGCACGACTCATCCGCTTGCGCGGTGAATCGCCATCTCATGTTGTTGCACCCGTTGTGTCTCCTGCAAGAACGACGTTCACTTCCCCACAATACTCGGCGTCAAAAATTCGAGATTTGTCACGATGCTCTGCTCTGCAAACGGAACATTCACAGCCACTACAGCTTACCGGTAGGCGGGGTCCCCTTGGTGGGCGACGCGTGCGTCCTCCTCGGCGGTGCGCCCGTTGACGGCCACGCAGATGGCGACCCGCTCAATGGCGCCGCGCACGCCCTGTGCACAAGAGACTGGCAGGGCCTCCCCTGAGACCTCGCAGTGCGCATCCCGCGCCCTGCAGGCACACCCACTCTCCACCGTCTTCTCAAGATGAAGTGGTTCGATGGCTTCCAGCCATCACTCGAACATCGTTCGTGACCATGGCAGGCAATCTAATTCCCCCAAAACCGTAGTTCCAGACTCCAGACACAGAAGTGGTCCTTTCACTCAGTCATTTAAGGTCAGACTTGTATTTTTCCACTTTGGGCAGTTTTCACGCTGAGGTGTATCCCACCCATCCCCACTCCCCCTTTACATCACGCCGAGTATGGCAAACTTTCCTGTTGTGAAACCGGTCAAAGAGAATGTTACAAATGCTGAAATGCTCTCATCGGGAGTGAAAAAAAAAGGCTAGAATCTCTAGGCAGAGCAGCACCATTACAGATCATCACCAAATTTCTTTAAAGGGAAGCTGAAGCGGTTTTAAATACGAGAAAAAACACCTGAGCCTAGTCAACGAGACCTCAGCCATCACGAATATCGTATTCGGTTGGTCATTTTCTGCGCGGATTAACCGGAACAGCGCCTTCAAAGTAGCACCGAAGCCACGCCTCTCCAAAGCAGAGGGAAAGGGGAGAGAGGAGGAAGCCCGTCAGCCGCCGTCACAAAAGGACCGGGTGGGGGACCCCGCCGCGCCTGGCCGCGCTTTCCTCGTAGGCTGCTCTAGTGTCTTTTTGAGCCGTCGTTGTTCTGCCGCTGCTATTGACTTAATCGCCGGTCATGCTATTGCCTTAATCGCCTGACGTGCTAATTGTTCTCTTGTTTGTTCACGTGTTCGCAGAATTTTCGTGGCACCAAACCAAATGACTCCTGCTGTTGCACGGTGCCGTACTCGTGTGTAGCCACCAGCTTTCATGAACAGCGCTCGTCGTAGGGTTTCTTCCCGCTTACCGTCTTTTCCACTTCGTCACCGAGATTTTAAAGGGGTAGGTGGGTTTGAGCAAGTACACCGTCTTTTGTTCGAAACGGGTTTCGGACGGCGCATATGAAAACTATGTATGTACACATCGCGACACTGTTAGCGCGAACACGACATCGGCGCATTTTCGCATTTTACTTGTAAATGGTATTAGCGAGCACGAAATGTTATCACTTACGTTATAGAACTAAATGAGCTCTTTCCGTAGCAAAAAAAAACTTTAATGACATTCCTTGTTTTCACAGAGAAAAACTGGAAAAACCGGCAATTGCTTGTTCGCGCTAACAGTGTCGCGCTCTGTACATATGGGTTTGGATCTGAAGAAGGCTCGCTTGAACCCGACGCTCTGCCGACCATCTTTGAAGGTAAGAAGGCAATTCAGCGCATTAAAAGTCACAAGCAAAGAGGAAACGTAACTGGGTAGGAATTGTAGGTCGACTGTTCTAGAAAAAAGCTGTTACGTTATTAGAAGTGTGCAGTGTGCTAGAAAAGCCGCGATCATTTAGCCGAACACCGGGTTTCTACTGGCTCTCTTGTGTTAACCGCCTTCTTAGTGTGTTAGTGTTGGTTTCTTATATTGTTTAAGCGAACATAATTTCCGGACCGACTCCGGCCCGGGAAGTCTGGGAAAAAAAAGAAAACAATCTTGGGTAGCCCAAGATTATTTTCTTCTGCTTTTAATCTACTCGGCTACCCAGTCACTTGGGAGAGGAGGGCTTGCTCTAATAAGTAGTCATGCAATTCATGATGCGACTTTCACGGTGCAACTTGTTTTAACGTAAACTTTTTTTTACAGTCGCTGACATTATTTGAGGCCACATATATTTTAAACGTAAACATAAATTTGGTTAAATTTTCCTTTCAAAAGTTCATATTCTCTTCAGAAGAGCCTTCTGGAAATACAACGCATGTGACCTTCTGTTCTGAATTGAGTTCTTTTTTTACAAGTTACGCAGTGTTTTTCGTATAAAGTTTGTGTAATGCAACAATTCTTTATTAGAATGCAATTAAATGCAAATGTGCAAGCGAGCTGGACAAGAATGTTGAAAATAATCCCTGGAGAAGGGGAACAAGAGGGACAAAGGACAAATACAAATCTCCAAACACAGCTAGGTGACTGGTGAGCGACCGAAAAAATCCGCCTGGTCCGGGTATCGAACCCGGGACCTCTCCATTACAGGTGGCCGTAGAAATGCGATCGGACGATGATAATGCCTGGTGGCGGTGTGATGCAGTAAACAAAGCTTGGTAGAAGTATGCGAATGTAGAGATCCAGGAAGCTTTCACGAATTCGACGTCAAATTAAGGGGTGCCGGGCACACATCTCCGCTTTTTCTAAAGCTATAATGGCGCCATAGTTTGTGGCAAACAAACTAAACGCAGCAGAGGGTACCGCTATCACAAGGATGGAAGGATATGGCGGTGGCAGAACGGCGACCCTATCTTATCAGCCGTCTCATCTCAGGGGAAGCTCTCCCGTCACCCGAAGCCGATTATACTATCCCTTCAAACAACCTCAGCTTTGATGAACAATGCAGCCTGCACGCTCACGCGTCCCGCAGCTGGCAAGCACGAAGGCCGATGTGTGCAGAATTCTTGTCCTCTGACGACCGTTTTGGGGAGGGTCACGCTAATCCGGCTTGAGGTGTCCTGTCAATAGCACTCCGTTTATTGTCAACATTTTAGGTTACAATAAATAGCAGTAAGTACGTTCTTGAAGGTACAAAGCCAGGCATCTCACGTCCGCGCAAGCGGTTCCTCGTCCGTGTTTATTACTGCGGGGGGTCATTTTCCTACCTTGCCAACGGCTGGAACGCGTACTTTGTCACGTCGAGGGTCGTGTGGACACATTCCTCTTTCGGATTCACCGAAAGATTTCGAAAAATCAGAAGCTGAACCCGATTTACGAGAGCAGAAGACCCGGCGCCCGGCTACTTCCGCAAGCGACGGAGCAAGCGAGAATCGAGATGGTCCTTTTATGACGTAGCGGCGCGTCACGCGTGGCTAGCCAATGGCGTGCCGCTGCGGCGATCGCTTCCGATTTCTTCGCTCTTTTTCGCGTTTAAGGATTATTTTGGGTCAAATGTATGTGATATTTGAACTCAGCAGGCACAAACACGTCAGAATCAACCATTAACTCATTTTTTTCGAAAAGCTCTTCAGCTTCCCTTTAATGAAGGCTAGGACTACTGACACAAACGAGTTTGTCTTTCTTAGCCTACGAGGCTACCCTGGTGCTCCGAAAATTGCGGAACCTTTCCACAACCATAGCTCGCGCGTCTACTTATCTAAAGGGCCAATCGCTGGGACATCACCGCTAAAACACGTGACCTACGATGGGACGTAATGTGCGATGTTCGCATGCTCAGAATTCCGTCGCAGATCCCATTGCTGAGCACCAGCATAGTCGGCCCCAAACAGTGCGTTATCCTTTGCTGACCTTCTTTTGCAAATCGCAATGATAGGCTTTACGTTAGCGCTGCAGGAAAGTATGCCCGCCATGGGGCTTTCTTTATAGAATAATGTGCCCATTTCTGAGCAAATACTGTAGAACTTCGTTGATATGTTTTTTGGGGGCTCAGGGAAATAAAATGTACGATCTGGGAAGACGTAAGAAGCGAGAACGCCATTCGGGGGCGTTAGAGACGAGACAGATCACAACTGTCACGAAAAAATTTAGTTCATGCAAACATTCGTAGGTGTGGACTCAAATTGGCTCGGAACAAGTATGTAAACATTCGTAGGTGTAAACTGAAATATACGTACTGTAAAAGTTTGTAGACGTCGTCTCACATATGTCCAGAAAAAGTTTGCGGGTGAGCGACGAAATCCTGGTCTTGCGGAGAGGTGTTTGTCAAGTTCCTCGTCGGTTCATCCCCGTGCAGTCGTGCGCACCACTTCGGCACACCAAAGCCCTAAAAATGTCTCACCGGATGACAGGCTGTAGTACATGTGAAGGGGGTCGCGACACGCTAGACGAGGGTTGACTGAAGCTTCTTTACGCAGACCCGGAGGAACACCAGAACCTGCAGCGCATCAGCCGGGCAAAGTTCTTGCAGCTCCTCTCGCGGGTGGGACCAAGAACCGCGCAACAACACCGAGGCGCTTTTTTGGTCCGCACTTTGTACGAATTTTTGACGGGGCTTGACTCGAAAACTGTTTTGTCTGGCCACAACGCACTTTTTTTTTTTCAACGAGCAAAACAAGAGGGTGCACTGTTTCCTTTTGTTCGCTCGTTGGTTTGTTTTGTCGCATGATTCTTGGTTGCACTAGTGAAGAATGTGACAGGAGCCGCTCCCGGCTGACGCACCACAGGCTCCAATACCCTTCCAGGTCCGTGCCAAGAAGCTGCTATCGAAACTTGTCTAGCGCGCCGCGCTCTGTCTTTGACATCCATCCATCTAAGACTCCCAACGAAGTTGGGCAAGATGTCTGTTGCACCCGTGGCGTATCGACGCGTTGCACGCGAGTGCACGGGGACAAGGACGTGGGCAAACGCCCCTCCACGAGCCCAGGACTTCGTTGCTTGTACTCCGACCCTCTTGTGCTATGCCTTAGGTTAGTAAAGCTAGTGGCACTTTGCGCTATGCCTCTCACGGTGTTTTGTCTTGCGCGGCACACAACAGCAGCACGCGATTCTCTTCCGCATTCATGCGATAGCGCCGCGACCGCAGTGACAAACGTCACATTAGCCCTTGGATGACAGTGCCACTGGCCAGTCGTTAAGTAGTTTGGTTGATATGTTCCGTCCATTCGTTGAATCGGCCGGTGCCGTCAACACTATGTCAGCGGTTTCTTAGACTTAAGAACCAGGAGAGCAAACACACTAAGCAGAAAATTAATACATGTGTTTCTATGTAAAAGCTGGGAAAACGCAGAAACTAGGAACATATCAACGAGGTTCCACTGTACTTTGCAAGCGATTGGTCGGCCTCCAAAGTATATCTGCTTAAGGCCTCCTTCTGCTCATTCTTTAATCAATTCACAAATGTGTCCAAGGCGTTACAAAGTTTTCCTAGGACTTTGCTTACCAGAAATGTCCAAGGCAAAATTGATGTCATTGGCAAAACTTTGCAAGGGTCTATTTCATTCATTTGTAATAATTTCACAAATGCTTAGAACTTCAAGGCCCCACAAAGCCTCCGTACAAGCCTGCCCCCAAGCAATGCCCCAGGCAACATGAACAGCCTAGGCACAATTCCTGCCTGGGGCCTCTTTAGCTCATTTATAATCATTTCATGCCCAACTTTGCCCTCCCAGAAATGCCCCAGCAAAATTCCTGCCTAAGGCCTCCATTGTTCTTTCAGGCCTTGGGAAGTGCCCGACTTCCCAAGGCCTAAGATAATTTGCCTAAATCTTTTCCCCCAGGAACACCCTAGGCAAACACTTCCTGCCTATTACATTTTCATTTTGTAACAACCTCACCAATGCACTCTTTCCCAACGCTTCAAAAAGCCTGCCCATAACTTTGCCCCAAGCGACACACTGGGCAAAATCAACGTCCTAGACAAACATTTTGCCTAGGGCCTCTAACTGATTTTGTAATAAGTTCACCAATGTGCTCGATTTCCCAAGGCCTCAAAAAGCTTGCTCATAACTTTGTCTCTCATAATTGGTTTTGTAATAATTTCACCAATGCACTCAACTTCTCAAGGCCCCAAATCTTGCCTGGAACTTTGCACCCCCTCAGCAATTGCCTAGGCAAAATCAACACCCTGGGCAAACTTTTGCCTAGGGCGGCAGGAGGCTAAGAATGCTTGCGTCCAGCGGCCGGCCGGAGTGACTGCCTGCCTACCTTTGACATCCTCCTCCTCGTCCTCTTCCCCATCCAACAGAGGTGCCACAGCAGACGGCTGCAGGGTCCTGGAAAGAAGGGCAGGGCACACACATACTAGGTTCAGGGACGTGCAAGAAGGGTAATCTCCACCAGGCACAGAAGTGATAGCTTGCCCTTCATCAGCCACAGCATTCCTAGTTCTCTGAATATCAAACTACCGTAATTTCCCCTATGAACACCTACCTATTTTGTAGAGATAAATTGTTAAAAATATCAGGTGGGCAATCTCTGGGAATGAGACAGCAAAAGATTTTAAAAAATGACTGATAAACACCAGGGCACTCATTACCGACCCCACGAAGAGGCAACCGACACCGCAGATTGCGGAAACGGAAGATTTCCATTCCCCGATGTTATAAACATGCGATATTTGGCAACAAACTCTCATGTCACGGGAGCCGATACTGTAGATTGCGAACGCAGCAAATTCGCGTTTCACGGTGCAATAAGCAAACAAGAAAGAACCTGCTACGAACTGGCACGTAATGGTAACCGATACCGTGTGCGCAGTTCGCAGACGTGGCAAACTCGGGTTCTATGGTACGATACGCACACGGGAACCTGCTCCAAGCTCGCTTGCCGGACGTACCGATAATGCAAATCGCACAGTTCATTTCTGGGGAATCGGGGTGGGGGGAGGACGTTTCTGCATTTTCAGCTTATGGACAATAGACCCTTTCCGAAATTCAGTCTGGCCACTTTGATCACTATCATCATCATCATCTGAAAAATGGCATATGTGCCATACCAATGGCAGCTTTCGATTTACTGATGAAGGAACATGTTGAAGATACTCCTAAGCTGAGAATTCGAGGCCTATACATTCTAGACGTTAGCACGTTGCGAAACCGGTATTGAATGCAAGCGCTGCGTAAGTGCTCATTTCTCTAATTCGAGCCAAGTGAACCTGTTAGTAGCACAAAATCGACTTCGAAACCCATAGAACTTTATCAAGGCGTCTGTCTGAGTTGGCGCTTCGTTCTGACTGGTTGCATCGTTGTGGGAATCGACACTGGAAGAGATGATCCAGAAAAACCTGTATAGCGAAAAGTTTATTCTCGTCTGCCGGTGACATGCAACAGTGACGGTGCCCGATAGAATACTGCAGGCTACGGGTTCATTGCCGCCATTCGTATGGCAAAAGTGAAACCGCCCTTTCAGCCACCAGATGGCACTGAATTTCGGAAAGGGTCTATTGGCTGGAAAAACAAGATGGGCAATCTCCCAGGAGAGGGCATTCGTACAGGATTTTACTGCAGGCCTGGTAGCGCCGGAGGTGGGACCCATCAACAGAGTTCCACGACAGTATGGATACAGATTTGATGCAGTGCCGGGACACCCCGGCACTGCATCAAAACAAAGACACGGGCTTGATGCCCAGTCGGTTGGCTGCAACCGGCAACGTTCACGGTTTTGAAGTCGGACCTTCCGAGTTTCAGATGTGGTGTAAGGACACTTTGCCAATGTCATTCTCGCATTGCCAAAAAAAAAAAAACTTTTAGCAAGTGCGCACATGGTAGGCACATTTCACATTTTTTGCATAGGCAAACCGGCGAAAGCCTGTGATAACCAACTGGCAACACTAACTCCATGCAACAAAATGGCTGAAATGAGGTTACTTTTAGTTGCAGCTTGTCTAAAGTTGGTGACAGGTGAAGAATTCGGGAGAAGCTCCGCCCACCCCTTTCCACTTTAGCAGAGCAAACACTGGAGAGGAGGTCGCCTTGTTTTCAGCATTTGGTCTGTTAAAGCGGAAAGAGGTGGGAGGATCTTCCCAGAACTCTTAAGATATCACTGACTATAGTGCCCTCGATTTAAATCAAGAATGTAAGCAGAAGAGGTGCTGGTTCAAATTACACCAGGGGGCGCAGTAAAAGCTTGGTCAGCAATTTGTGCATTGATGAGGAGTGTGTGGCCTCAGGAAAACAAGGGAAACAAGGCATTCCTTCTCTGGCCAGCCTAGCACCACTGATAACCCCCTGCCAGATGGACCCCGCAAGTCTAGCTACGACAGACGTGAAATCTTCTGATGAATGTTCGTATTCGTAATGTACGCATTTCGAAATTCTTAGTAGAATAAATGATACTAACTTGTGGCGTTTTCAACCTTTTGGAATATTACTCTTAGGTTCAGTTTCAATCACTGGTAGCTAGCCCCAGTGACGTCAGCATCAGGGGTGTGAGCACAGCTTCTTACTACTCTTAGGTGGAGTAGACTTTGGCGCAAAAACCATTTAGTGAAATGAACCTTCGGAGCATTGTCTGACAGGGGTATAAGTCTCTATTAACTACCCCTTCCCCTCCCTCTCCCTCCTCCATCCTCCCCCCCCCTCAAAAAAAAAACGTTTGAGCATGTTTTAATCATATCTGATACACTCTGAGAAGCACTAATGTCTTTTTGTGTGCATGTGTGACGTCCCGTGACGTCATGAGGTCATGTGACACTTAAGTCATGTGATGTCAGCTATATGTGCAATATGGCCCTTTTAGGCAGGGCAACCGAAGGTCCCGTTTTGGCTAAGACAGTCCCGTCCTAGAGGTTCATTTTCGCTGTCCCGTCCCCCTGCTTTCAAAGGGCCCCAGTCCCGTTTTGTGGAAACGCGCTCAGTGGCGAAACCAGAATTAAGTGGAAGAAAACCGAACCAATGTTTACTTGTGGGTCGTTACAGACATTATTTTATAAAAAAATAAAATAATCTAGCACGAATAACACGGAGCACAACTTCAAGCTCTTTATGCAGTTGCATATGCCTGTGCATTTCTTTGTACCCACAGATGTACATACGGGAAACTTTTCCTATATTACTGAATTTGGCACGCTCCCTCCCCGCTGGCAACATTTCTTCCCGTTTTAAAATGAGGAAAAAGGCACTTGCGTTCTCAATTAATAACTCGGGATCTTTTCCCGAGTTACTGATCTTTTTGTTAAATTTTGGGGGAGATTGTAGAGTTATCTTTGTGAATCGGCATGAAGGCCGTCCATTGTGCTACTTTGTGTTTTGGAGGCTTTGGCGTTTGGACTGTTTAGAGGTTGTCCCTTTGTGTTGGTGGTGGCTGATTGTGGGCTATATAAGGAGGCGGACTAAATAAACCTGGTAGCCGAGTTTGAGACGTCGTCCTGTCCTTTTCTGTTCTTTCAACTTATTTATTCACTTCTGCCCCAGTCTCAGGTTATTCAACATGGTTAACATTCACCTGCTTACCTGCACCCTTACTATGTTATATTCGTGTGCCCAATTTCAGGCATGTACATTTGGAATTCAAATTTTGCAAGGCGTGCCAAATGCATTAGTTCTTATGGCCACACCCTGTATGTATGCGTTACACATTTTGCAACGGTTACCGTGGTGTTCCACCACACACTCCTCATTCAGTGTTAACATGTTCAGTGTTAAGAATGGAAGTGGACTTACTTAACGGGAGCTGGAGCTTGGAGTTTGATGACTAGCCCTCCTGGCTGAGAACCACTGGTGTTACCAGTCGGAGCAGGTGGCACCGATGGCCCCGGAGGTGTTGAGGCCACGGTCGAAGACGCTGCGCCACCGAATCACGGTAAGTTTACGCTGAACCTCTACATTGCTCAGACTGCACATGAAAACCTTAGTTTCCGGTAAATGGCCCAGCGACTTGATTCTGGTCACTGCACGAACGAGATCTAATTTAGTTCTCACAAAGAAAGTTGAGATACCGTTTGCAGATGTTTCGTCTGCTAACACGAGCTAAGGTCGGCATGCGTCTATTACGGAACGTCATTCGCAGACGAAAATGAGACAAGAGAACACCTTCATGTCATCTGCTAACGTATCCAAAAAAAAAATTGAGCAGTCCTGTGTTAATCTACACAGTCCGGTCACAGCGATGGCCGCGACATGTCACGGCAAAGTCGTTGGGAATCGGCGTCGCGTTCGCGCGCCATAGGTTGCGTGAACAAAAGCGTTTGTAACAAAACAGACGTCTGACCATTTTGTTTCTAACGCTTTTGTTCTGGAGAGTGTGAAAGCGTGCCTCCCGGCACAAACCCTTGGCAGTGACAGTGTTACGATGGCATTTCACCCGCTATTTGTTTACATTTCTTCAGAAAGTGCATGCAGTGGGCATCGTGTACTACAAAAAATTTTAGTATAAAGCGGTTTGTTATTGCTGTGGCGTAGCTCTGTTTTAATGACTCTGCTTCGCGTGCAGCGGACCAGGGTTCGATTCCCGTGGGCGGCGGGCGATATTCTTAAAGAATTTGGCAACATTAACGACAGACACTGTACACCCAATGAAGACAACTACAACATCAACAACATCAGCAACTACAACATTAGTAACTACAATTGCAGTGATGTGATGAACCGAAGCCATTTTGGAGCACCTTTCGTAGCAGCCAAAGCAGTGTTTTGGAGCAGCAAATGTGCCCTTTGGAGCAACCAAAACAGCGTTTTGGAGCAGAAAAAGTGGCTTTTGGAGCAGCCAAAAGAGTGTTTCAGAGCAGCGAACGTGGCTTTTGGAGCAGATATTTTTAGAAAAATAAAAATATTTGTTTTTTGTGCTGTACATACAACGGGCACTTTCTGTTGTGTTGTGTTCTGTTGTGATGTGTTGTGACGGAACTCCCTGCTTGTGCTTTTACTGCCGAGACATTCCACAAGCAATTCCGAAAAACCGATTGCCACCGTTTCACTGGTTCCCGACGTGCTATATTTTCGTCAAAAGTAAGCAAACATAAAACGATGGATTGCAAGCGTCCCAGCTGGTGCCTCTATTGTGTAATCATGTTCGCATGCACGTGAGGCCAACTTCGGCAGGCTTGCAATTCTGTGTGCTTCGTCGCGCGAGCAGAGAGAACGGCTGTTCGATCGAAACCAAAACCATACCACTCCGCTTCGACGCCAATCGATTGCCAAAATTGTTTGCAAAATGTAACTGTCGAGCATACAACAAAACAGTTCAGCAGTGCATGATTGCAAGGCCGGCAAACCAGATACAAGCTAAACACACACACACAAACACATGCACGCACACACACACACACACAAATGCACGCGCACACACACACACACACACACACACACACACACACACACACACACACACACACACACAAAGAACATCAGCGCATCAAGGATCAAAAAGTTCTGGGAGCGCTTTGTGCAACGACTGAACTCGAGACAAACAAGCGCGCTGTGAGGGTTCAGCATGGAGACATTGCCTTCTTTGCTTTAGCTCACCTCTCCTCACCAACTTTCTTTCGTCACACATTTTTCTCGTACCTGGTTCCCTTTCGAAAGAAAGCCTACCGAGAGAAACCTAGGTAATCTATACTTTGACAGAGTAGTCTTTAAGTTAAAGAGGGATTTTGTAGTAACGTACAATTTAAACAAGAACAGGAATTTTGGTGAACATGTGGCGGTACTTAGTCATTTTAGAATGCGCCATACACACGCGCATGCTCAATTATGGTACTCAGTTTAGTTTCGGTATTGAAAGGCGATCGAAAAACGTTTTTTGGCGCAGGCTTGGCGCAAATTACCCATATTTTGGCAAAATGTAGCAGGATGTAGCAGGGTTAGCCCCTTGGCGCAGTTTGGCGCAATTGGCGCAGCAATCACATCACTACAATTACTACATCGGCAACGGACGTCATTCCCATGGGTGGGAGAAGCAATGACAACGATCGCTGTGAAAGTTGGCTGTCTACTACAAACAGAGTGCTGGGACGAAGTGATATCGGATGAAGCTGAGGTTCCGTGGCCTTCTGCTACAAATCAAGCACTGCGGTAAAGCGATATCGGAAGCAAGCTGAAATTGTGACCGTCTGCTTTTTCACGTTGGAAGATGGACAACTCGTGATTCCTTAGCAAGTCCCGAACTGTTCTTCTGCAACACACAGGTTGAAATCTGGCGGTGGACAAAGGAACATCTGGGACAAGCACATCATAGGCCATGACACCCCCTTTCACCAGCCATGTGTTGGTGAAAAGTTCTCCCCAAAGTACAGCCCAATTGTGGTCTCGAGAACAGGTGAAAATTTTTTATTGGCTGACGACAAACGCCCAACGGAAAGCTGCGACGGCTCGTTCAATCACCAGCCGAGAAAGTTCTTGCTTTCCCCAGGTATCAAAACTTTAACCCGCAAGAGAATCCAAGCCAAGATGAGCAGAGAATCAAAGTCAAGATGAGTAACAACGCTAAGACGCGCAGCACTATCCTTGCCAGCTGTTGAATGTTCCATATAGTTACTCGATCCTGGGAAGTGGCTACATCACTGCCAGTTTGGGCTTCTGGATCAGTCAGTTTTCCTTGGCTTCTTTGGTCCGAATGAACCAATCTAAAATCACGATGATGAATGATAATCAATTAAATATCAAGCACTCATAGACTCTATTGCAAGACTTGTCAGATAAGCTAATTTGGGGGTTTTACGTGCCAAACCTACGACGGGCATCTGGCACGCCCCAGCGGAGGACTGGGGATTAATTTCGACCACCTGGGGATCTTTTGAAGTGCAACCGAAAGCTCAGTTACACGGCGCCTTCGCCGCGATAAGCCTCAGTCATATTGCGAGCACCTCGGTTGGGATTCAAACCCGCCACCTGGGGATCCGTAGGCCGGCGCTCTTGCCTCGGAGCCACTGAGGCGGCTTGTCAGATAAGCTTATCTTTTTACTTTCGTTTGCACGCAAAAAAAAATTTTGCAAAAAAAAGAAAAAAAAAAAAACTATAGAAACAAAACAAACAATATTAATCCCTGGAGAAGGGGAACAAGGGGGACAAAGAACAAACACAAACCTACAAACCTTAAAATGCACGCCATTCACCCCTGTTCGTGTCAGACTGGTGGCGGCTGCTAAAACCTGTTTGCTCTACTGACGTCTAACTCCTGGTAAGCTGACCTGGTAGAGCGCTCCACTAGAAACGGAGAGGTCCCTGGTTCGATACCAGGACCAGGCGGATTTTTTCAGTCGCGCACCAGTCACCTAGCTGTGTTTGAAGATTTGTTTGTCCTTTGTCCCCCTTCTCCAAAGATTATTATTGTTATTCTTGTCCAGCTCGCTCGCAACCTTGCATTAACAAAAAACAAACAACTTCGTACTGCCATCACGTGCGGTGCTGATGCTTCGTAAAGGAATGACAGCAAGATATAATTTTCCTGCCAACAGAGAGCCCCAAAAGGTTGATATCATTTTAGGAGTATGACAGAGATAAACCAAGTTGAGGAGCTGATTGAGTGAAACGGCAATTTCACGAGGGTACCGAAATGGCGACTGCTATGGCAACAGATATGGGTTGGGGATCGAACCGAACAATCGCCACTCGAACCTTTTTGCTATCTCTATGCTTCCATCTGTTTGCATTCTTTTTTGCTGGAAGGGAAGACAATGGCACGGCTTTCCCAGAATCGAGAGACCTTAGGTTCGCAAAACGTAATGCACGCACAAGAAACGAAAAAGTACGTTCGCGACATCGCTCCCTGCATCCGTGTCGTCTGCTAGCGAAAATAGTTCCCCAGCAAACGTCAAACCACGCACGTTTTAGAAGTAAAAAGAAAAGACTCGGAATGCGTGCGCAATCCCACGATAAGCACAACGTGCAAAATGGGCCATTTAAACGACAATCTTTGAGGCACCAGACGCTGCCATCGTTAAAAACGTTCAACGCAGTCGCCAAGGTGACGAGCGCAGCGAGCCGATGCACCTCCCATCTTTTTATTAATTTTTTTTATTACTGAGTGCCGCGTTACCTTTCATGCTTTGCATTTTCCTGAACTGCTCCAGAAAGCTGCCATCGTTCTTGAAAGAATTCACCCGAGACGATTCCGCTCGATCGACGGGCTCCGTTTTTCTGAAATGGAACGCGATAACGTTCAATGCGGCTTTCGATTCCATTCGATCGAAGAGCAACCGGGGATCCAATAACAAGGCTGTCTCCATTTCAAGTCAGCGTCAACAACCAGGTGAGTCTTTTAAATTCGCTTACATTGTCGGCGTCGGAAGCGGCGGGGGCTTTCGCGCAGCTGGTTTTAGGCCTACGCCGGCTGCCTTGGCTTGCGCGGCTTGTGCATTTTGAAGCTTGGCTTCAATCTCACGCTTCTTCTGCTGGATCAACAACTCTTGTTTGGCAACAGCTGATCCTCCCTTGGCGAGCTCCTTGAGTTTATTTTCAAGGATTTGATTGTAAATAGACATTGTGGACGGACGGAGATACGGGACGCTCCGCACGAACGAACCCAGCCTCGTCGCGGCTGTCTGCTGCGGCTTTGGTTGGCTTTTGGTGTTTACTCGTTGGCGTGAACATAAAACAAACTCGCTATTTATTGTAGTATACCTTAATACTTTATAATATTTAAAACGGTTAATTTATACTCTAAAATTTTTTAAAATAATTTAAGATATTCAGCTTATTTCAAAGTACAACAGATACTGGAGCTTTTACGCTTTTGCGGCTATCCTTCAAACTTGGCATCGAGCGCTCGCGCCGTGGCAACACTGAGTGTAGACCACGCTGACGCTGGTTTTGTTTTTCCCGCTTTGCCATGGTCGGTACTCAGTGGTCGGTACCGCCGTGGTCGGGACTGGTCGGTGTTATTAGTTGTCATAGCATCGGTGTCATCGGAGAATTTAACACGGCGATGGACCTAAATATACTTGTACAGAGGGAGTCTGAAAAGCTAGATAAAGCAACGGTCATCGGCAAGATCAGGGCAGCGTTTAAACGTAAGATGTCCTCAGCGTATTTCGACAACTTTTGTGTTAACCTTTACCGCGACTGGCTGTAGGAGTCTCGAGTCCTGTGGATTTTTATGCTTATTTTTCACAGTTGGATACGATGTGGTGGCTCTCAACGTCGTTGTGGGATCGCAAGAGCTGGGCACTAAAAACAAGGTGATGATGTTACTGCTGATTACACTTGCAACTGCAAGGGTTTGTCCGCACGAGCAAAGACATGGCGGCGGCCAGTCGCCGTGCTTGCAATTGTCTATACTCTTATTCTCTAGCTACAAGTTTGAAGAGAGCTGTCGATAGATGCCGTTGTTCTTTGGCAGCTCATAAGCCCAGTGCAGTGAACAGGAGGCGCGCCATGGTCGCTTGCCAGTCAGCGCGCCTGGTGTCCGAAAGGGGCAAAAGTGGGTCGTTCTTGCCAGGAAACGATGCTGGACACGAGCGTGGCATCACGGTTTCAACACGTCTTCTGGGGGCGCGTCGAGCCGCTAAGTAAACTACGCTTTAGAGTAACGGCACTTCAGCCAGCTGTACCCTTCATGCGGGCGGTAGCTTCCGCCACCTAGCCTTGGTGTTTTAAACACTTGTTGCCAATTATTTCAAGCCTTATCTGAAATCACTGGAAAAACTTTTCTGCCCCTCAGAAATATTAAATCAGTCCGCGACAGAAAGTGAAGATCTCGCCCGGGCCTCCCAACACTGTATTTAAAGCTCAGGAAGTTAACCATCGTCATTTGCTTTCACTCTACACACTAGCTTCATTTGATTTACCTGCACCTCCTGCACCGGTGCAGGAAGGTTTATTCAGACACGGCTGGAAGTACATCGCCCTACACTTTTCTGCACCGGTGCAGAAGGTGCAAGTAAATTGAACGACTACTATAAGCACCAAAATGGCGGCACTCACGAGATAATCGAGGATTGGAGTGCCAATACTCTGTAGCTTATGCCTAATTGGTGACTCTGTCCCAGAGAGGCACACCATGGTTGGCTGCCATTCTATGCTGCTGGCAGCCAAAAAGGGTAAAACTAGGTTGCTTTTGCAACGGAACGATATCCCCGCGTGAATGGCCGAAAGGGAACGTTTGTTCGCACTTATAGGAAATTTGTGTTTACTCTTACCCCGAGTGTAATAGAGAAGCAGGTCTCCTGAGTGAAGTAGGCGAGGAGCCCAATGTGGCCTTGCCGACTCACTTTCTTGCAGTCTCACGCTAGCCAGCTGTTACGCCGACACCCCGACGCTCGCTGCTGCTTTCTTGATGCTCATTCTTTTGTTTCTGGCACAAGTTCACCGATTTAATCTTTATTTTCAGCTTTACGCCGGTCGAGCCTTTTTCACCCGTAACAATATTGGACACGAATGTTCCATTACGGTCGTGTCACGCTGCCCTCTTGTGGGAAAGTGGTTGAGTGGGCGTTGCAGTGTCGTGCTTGTATCTGACAGATTCCGGAGCCTCCCTGCTACAGCCTCGGCCCGGAGGACCTGTCTGCCTCTCGGGGAAGAAAGCTGAGGATCCTCACGCGGCTGACTGCCGTCCTGTCTGACAGTGGCCAGTCTCACAGGCTCGTAAGTTTCCTTTCAGGCGGACGTATAGAGGCCAGGGCGGTTCACTAAAAGGAACCATGCAAAAATTTTTCAACTTCTTGCTCCTTAGTTTAACTCCTCAACTCAAAAGCGAAAAGAGAAATGACGGGCTCGAGAGGTGCTTGGGCACCGATGTGACGACTTCAAGCTTCCACCGTGCTTTTTAAGTGCACCATGGAACTTGTCACGCGCAAGTGATGATCAGTGCCGTCACGGCACTCATTGGCCACGAACCCGAATCCAAATATTCGTCAACGAAATCATTGTTGACGAGCGCATGCGTCCGAGTGCTGCAGTGCTTGTGTTCAGTGTGTGAGCTGGGATCTGCTGACATGCTTTGGGCACTGCATATGTATCGCAGTAAAGGCTCATTCAAACACTTGCACCCGAGTAGGACAGGGTGAGACAAGACCGGTTTTTAAGCCCCTTGCTACGGCTTAGGACCGGCTCCGCAGCAACGCATCCGGTCCCAAGCCGTCGCAAGAGGCTTAGAAATCGGTCTGGTCTCTGTCGGTCTTACTTGATTGCAAGTATGGGAACGGGGCTTAAAAAGGTGGAAAGCCTTTGAAGGAAAATAGGTGCGAAATAATCTGTCATATTTTCTCATTTTCATACCAAAAAGTAGGCTTTCGACTTTCTAACCTCTTTCTTTTGGCCCGCTTTTTGAGGTGGAATTAGTGAAGTCCTAATCTAAAGTCGTTTATCCCAGTCCAAGATTCGTTTCATACCCCATTAATTTGTTGAATATCGGTCGACCCTTCCGGAAAATCTTGCAAGTCCAGTTTGCACTGCGCGGCATGGTGAATGGACCGGTCTTGCTAGCCAGTTTCATTATGCCACCACTGCTGCTGTGATGCTCCGAGGAAACTTTAACTTCAGTCCCTGATTGTGCGAGAACCTCACTGCACGTCCGTACGAGCAGTGTGCAAGAACGGCACGAGCTGTGTCGTGCACTGTCGCCTGCCTCAATGAAATAAAGTTATGGTGGCATCACTCGTGCGTGAAACGCTCAGCGAGATCAGTCTATGTGGGGTTGTACCAACATACGCCCGGGCCAGCTCGTACTCATTCTACAGGGTGATACATGGAGACGCTCTTTAAATCGACCGGAAAATTCGGTTTCTTAACCTATCGCGCTATGACTTTGTGCAGCGTTGCCCACAGATGGTGCATATTTTTGTAAAATTTGCAAAGAGCGAACTTACCTGAGGAAAAAGTAAAGAAAGAAAAAGGCTTAGCTCCTATGGAAACGCAGCGATGCCACCGGTCTCCAAACAACACAGTTCCGTTTCGCACGGGAGACAAGAGATGGCACAACGAATGCCGCCAACGAACGAGCATACGGCCAGCGTCTTTAGCAGACAATCTTTTCGACTCAAAAGCGGCGTGCGTTCTACAGGCGGCGACAGTCGCAGAAACAAAAAACAGGAGTGGTAACAACAAGGAACTGCAGTTCCTTGTCTGCTAAATACGCCGGCACTCGGCGTCGTTTGCTCGTTCGTTGGCTGCAGTTGGCGTCGCAACCGCTTGCGCCATCTCTTGTCTCCCGTGCGAAACGGCGCCGTGTTGTTTGCAGACCGGTGGCTTCGCTGCGTTTCCATAGGAGCTAAGCCTTTTTCTTTCTTTACTTTTTCCTCAGATAAGTTCGCTCTTTGCAAATTTTACAAAAAAAAAAAAAAACGCACCAGCTGTGGGCAACGCTGCACAAAGTTGTAGCGCGATAGGTTAAGAAACCGAATTTTCCGGTCGATTTAAAGAGCCTGGCGTCTCCTTGTATCACCCTGTAGAAGCAGAATCCCTTCTCTCTTACCACTGCGGGCTCAGAACACATAAAAACCGGGTGAACACACACAACGGAGTCGATAGCACGGTCCTTAGATCACCTGGCCGGCAGTCTTTTCATCACGATACGGGAAATTTTTCGCTATGGAAAAGTAGAAACACGCTGCCGACATTGGGAGTCGACAAGTCAGATCGTCGGAATGAGTGGATATGGGTTCGGAGGGGCCACCACGAAGAAAGTGCTATATGTCTAGACTCTTTCATAAAAGCTCACGGACCCGTTGAAAAGATAGATATTGGGAAATGCCATCCATACTCGAGACCCAGGAATCATATTATTTAGGAATAATTGAAACTTCACATGAAGAGTGCTATGCCTGCTTCAAAGAAATAATCAAAATTTTAAAAATTACTGTGTTCTAAATAATGTTTTTTTTTTTTTTAATTCACTTTTTTCTTTATTTTTTACATGGATTAGCACTGCTTGCGGTTGCAAACATTTGTTACGGCTGAAACCGGCAATGTTTTCAGACCAGTAGGTAGTGTATCTAAGGGTCATGCTTGTACATGCCCTGTTTTGTTATTATCCTGCCTTACTTTATTTTTTCAAAATATTACCAAATTCTAAACAAATGTGTAGCGCTGCTATTCAGGGATACTCCTTTACCTGCCGAACATCTCTGCTGCTCAGCCTGGTTCTAAATCGTTCGGCTCGTTGGTCTTGCCTGTTTTCTGTTTCACCCAACAGGTGCATCTCCTTGCTTACGGTCGTGTGGCCTCGATTTCCATTCGTTTCAGTTCCAGTCGCCCATTGCAAAGAAGTATGACATCATTGCTGTGACGCCCATGCAAGAAAGGATGTTCCAGGTAAGGTGCTTCAGGTGCATGCAGGATCTGCACCCATGTACAGTAAATGATGGTAAATGTTGATTTTGTTTGTGGTTCTCAGTCTGGCAACCGGGTTTCCCATATCATCCTAGGAAGTTCGAGTATACTTGAATTCTTTCAGTTGCCCATGATGCCAAGTAAAGTGGTTCCCAAGCTAAAGCATGATTTCAAAATATCCGGTCCATGCTTGGATGCACAGCTACCAGCTGAATGCTCCCTAGCGTGTACAGTAGTCTTGACAAAATCTTTCGGACTGAATAGCTTTTGTGCAACAATGCAAAAAAAAAAAAAAATTTTGCCTCACATTTTTTTAATAGTTTTACTGTCGTGGGAATTCAATATTATTATTACACTATCGAAAAATAAAAGCCTCTGAAAAGTTTTGTTGCATACTGTTCATTAACCCCGAAAGATTCCCGCTCCCTATTTTTGGAATATGATTGCTATTTTTTAAGAAACACCGAATGATAGCCCACTTCTTGTAAGTGCTGGGCCCTGGCCAATGGTGACCTTGGTTAGAAATGGCGTTAGTTATCCACGGTGGGAGATAGCGAACATTTCTGACTGGGAAGGACAGTCGTCTTTGGTTCATTGCCCCTTCCTGCGATCACAAGTTTCAACGGTCACGAAATTTAAAGATATAATTTTTTCAATTTTCTTTTTTATGGTACACTGAAAGGTAGCCTACCCCTTGTTTTTACCAGATTTGCTATATCGGTTTTAGGTGGGCTATCTCAAAATAATGACAATATTTATAGTTTTGTTTTCGTATATTTTTGCATGATTGATTAGTGTTCACATAGAACCTGTACAGGACTGCAACTGATCTCGTGCAATGCTCTGCGAGGTATTTCGTTCCTTTAGAGACGCGATGGTTTCGGGGCTGGGAACATGGGTCTGAAGGGTTGTTCTTGCTTGCCGCAGCAACTGTGCAACCAGGGTGACCTGGACATCCTCAGTCTGCCATTGGATACCAAGTTGCCCTTCCTCGTGAAGCGGGCCCAATACGGTGCAGTGAGTGCTCTTCCCCGCTCTTTCGGGCGAGTGTTGGGTCTGCGGTTGTTTCACCTTACGATGTACTACGACAAACGCTACGAGACACTTTAGCCGATTCAGTGGGCCGTGCGACTTCACACCCTTCCGGTCACCCCATTTAGCCAGAATGTCACGTGATGCGCTATGCTACGGATTAGCTCCGGTCACGTGGCATGCTCCATGCCATGATTTGGCTCCAACCGGAAGGTCATGTAACATGCTCTATGTTGTTAATTGACTGCAGGCACGTGACATGCTCCATGCCATGGATTAACTGCAGCCACAAGGCAATGTGACATGCCTCGTGCTATAGATTGGCTCCAGCCAGAATGCCACGTGGCATGTTCCGTGCCGTGGATGAGCTTCAGTCGTTTGACGTGCTCCGTGACATAGATTGGCTCCAGTCATGTGACAGGCTCCATGCCATGAATCGGCTCTAACTGGAAGGTAACATGACATTCTCTGTGCTTTGGATTGGCTCTGGTTGCTTGTAGCATCCATTGCAGTACACCATAAGGTGAAGCTGGGTGTAGCTAGAGCCATTGGTTTCCTCACCTCCAAGTTCTGGCAGCAGCATCCACATGCTTTCTGCTGGCAGGCGATCGGGCGAGGCGTGATGTTCGAGGTACAGTACGCACCCTGCCTCCGAGACAAGGCACCACTGAGGAACACCCTCGCCAACTGCCAAAACCTGCTTCACGCCGGCCAAGGAAAGGTAAGTGGCGAAAGAACTCGAAACCCCGATCCTTCGCAATAACCCAACTGACACGGAATGCACCGCATGTTTGGGTGGACCCGTTTGAATCTGTTTTGCCTGTTTAGCTTTTGTTGTAATCTGTTGAGGGGCCGACACGAATGCAACACATTCTGCATTCGTCGACTTCATTTGAAGTGTGAAGGTAGGTTAAAATTTCTACACCAACACGAGTACAGCAGCTTTAGCGGCACCCCTCCAAGTCACTCCACCGGCATAGGGTAGAGCATAAGACTCGAGGCGGCACCGAGAGCAGGTCTCGGTCTGGGATCATCCGATTGCAGCAACAAGCGCAGACATCTCCGCCGACGAAACCGAAACAACTTTATATAATGAAAGCCTATCCTCAAATACATTTTTTTTTTATCACATTTGGTCATATTTATAGGGATACTGACAGGGTATTTATGCTCGCCGAGGATTTTAGTTGTATGTGACTGATGAGAGCCCAACTACCTAGAACGGAATTTGCGGCTCGAAATTTGGTTTCTTTCCACCCAAAAATCGCAGATCGAGATCTCTCCGGTTTGATTCGCACTCACTCTCTTCTCCATGGTCACGTGCCATTTTCTAGGGTTTTGACACAACCACCAAATTTAATCAAAGTCGTGGGTGATTGAAAGCACACTCAATATTAAAAATAGAAAAAATACGAAAACCATTTTTTGTGGCTTCCAAAAAGCTGCTAATTCGTTGATTGAAAAAAAAGTTGCTCAGAGAACCGGAAGCATTCTTTGTGTTCACGGCATAATTCTCAACATGGCGTCGTAACACGTATCGTAAGCAAGGACATTTAAATAGGGCAGGACCCGACATGACGTCATACCCAGCGATGCGGGAAAAAAAACCCAATCCCAAACTGCCTCGCGCACTGACACACTCTCTTCCAAACTAAATTCAACCAAGCTCCCATCGTCTGCTCTCTGCATGATCGTTAGGTGTAGGCTACGTCTGCTCCGTGCCTGCGGTCTGCTTCGTCTGCTTGTTGTTGCAGCTGGCTTTTGATTCAGTCGGTGCACCAAAAGATGTTTCGATGCGAGCCTGCATTCTCATCACGGTGGAGTGAAACCAACACCTTCTGGAAACAGGGTTTGTACGGCTTTCTCAACCTGCGCTGCCATTCTCAGCATTCATGCGTACGAAAACTGAGATGCGATCGCTTTCCAAAGCCGTGCCGTTCTAGACGACGCTCCAGGCGCGGGTCGAGAGCGTCCGCTACACGCCGACTTCCTGCTGGTCAGGCAAGTGTTGGGCTCCAAATCTTGCCTGTTTGACACCGATTCAGTGGATGCCACCATGAAATTATGGGGCAAACAACAGCGTTGCCACGGAAATGCCATGGCAACGAGGGTTGTTTGCCCCTAAAATCAATGGCGGCACCCATTGACGAGCTCCTTATTGGCTGAGAAGAGATCATGGCTGCGCTAAAGTCACTGGATCATGGGAAAGTAACGCCAAGCTCCCCGTGTGGTCGCCATCTTGGTCCGTGATATGAGCAATTTCTCCTTGACCCCTCCGTTCTTGGTGAGCCGATCTAGATTCGCTGGTGACGGGTAGCTTTATGGAGTGGGTTTTTGTATACCGAGATTTTGCTTACCACACACCGGCAAAACAAGCGTACAGATTCATACCACCACCAGATGCTGTGTCGGTGCTTGGCGGCATTGAAAAGTAAGTTTACTGCTTTAAAATACGCAAGAAGAACAATATAATTGTAAGAGATCCATGGAGATGGGCATGAATAATAAGTTGATTGCATACATAGTGCCAAAGACTCTTATATTGGCGAGGAATGCCTCCAGTACGATGATGCTTCATGGTAATCTCGGCGCGACTGGTTTAGAACGACCCTCTAGAAACTTCGAAGATTTAAATGGACCAAGATGGCGATTTCCATGGCGATGTAGACCGGTTAGCCAATCGCCTTGCTAGGTTTGGGTCGTCTGTATGTTAGTATCCGTTTGTGTCCGGCTAGCAGGTAGGGAAGGCAATGGCGCTACTTTCCCAGGATCCAGTGACTTTAGGCTGCGCCTACTTCCGTTACACCCCACTCCGTGCATTGGACATAGGGATGCTACCTCCTGCCCATTATAACCTTTTTGATTGTAGGTCTCGCGGGCTGGACGGCAATGGCAGCAGACGACGGACGTGGGACCTCTACTTCAGAACTGTCGTTCGCGGTACCGGCGAATTTGTCTTCTTTTGAAAGAGAAATTTTGGACCAATCAAAATGATTGGTATTCATCCCATACGACACACTCAACCACCAAGCCGATTTGCGCGAAGCCGTCGCCCCTTCTCGTGGCTAAAGACATCACTCGTGCAAACGTCAATCATGAAGTGTGTACTTCGAGTTGAATATGCACGCGTACGATTTCTTTACTAGGTGGGAATGTGGCCAATGTATGGTGCTGCCTGACTTTGAGCTGGGAGTACCTTTGTTGGAGGGAAATCGGCAGCAAACTTTCCGACCTACAGTAGGCCGGCTGCATTACCACGAATAGTTTTCCCAGTAGCTCAGTGGAAAGACGTCCGCTTCACACGCAGTGGGCACAGATTCAATCCCTAATGTAAGCATCTTTTTTTTTTTTTTTTGTGTCATACATTTTGCTTTATTTACATATCTTTTTTACAATTACCACTGAAAAAAACAAATGTGGTGGATGATACGTCGCTGGACTAAATGGTATGGCATTCTCTTTTTGACACCTGCAAACTCAATGCAGTCACTTTCCACAAAATGCAAGAAGCATATGAATCAGGTAGCGTCTGCTTTCTGAGGTGCCCGTAACTGTTCTATAGGAATTGCAGCCAGCCATTGGTCCCGATCCCGTTAATCTTTCGGAAACTTGTGCAGACTCTGCTGCACAATGCCATTTTCAGATGCAGGACATGTGAGGCAGCTCTTCACGCAACATCTTGGGGGTATTCTTTTCGGAGCCGATCACAGGAATTCACCACGGGAACTCGCTACTCATCTCCGACTCTTCAATGTACAAAACAACTCATCTTGAAGTACAGAACAGTGAGCGGAACAAACATAACTGCAAAGGAATTGCATGGCAAATGGCTCCCGCAATGCATTTCGTCTGCTGCACGGAAAAAGAAAAAAGAAAAATGCATAATTGGGTGTAGTTACGTGACTTCCACCACTCACTCTGTCCTCTCCACTTCTCTGAGCTCTGTGCGAAGGTTTCGGTTTCGAACAGTTGCTTTTTTCGGCTTTATTCAAAATATATGTGACTGACTCTAGCAAAATATTAATTGGGTAGTTTTCCGACACCGTAATCAATCACCTGGCAAAAAATGAAAAAAATTTTTGGGGGGTGTCAGTGTCCTTTGAGCGCTTTGCAGTGTCCGAGATTTCAGGAAAATTTCAGCACAATTTAATGTGACCTGGTGTGGTCAAAAGATGCAATTTCTGTCCTCTGAAAAGATGTGTATAAGGGGGGGGGGGAAGAATGGTGGCTAGCATCTTTGTGAGGACTGTCTTTTAAACTGTACCAAAGTCCATTTCGTTTATTTATTGTTTAGTGCACTTCGTCCTAGTAGAGGGCTGGTTGTACCCACTCCCATTTGCTGCATGCCTAACATGGAAGCACAAGACTATGTTTCAGCTTACAAAAAGCTACACTTAAAGGGATACTGAACCGAAATTTCGAGCTCACAAAACGAGGCTTGACAGATAGGCAGGAAGCTGCAAAACCCATAAACATCACTCATACAGCAATATCTTTAACGGATCGCCGTATTTTTGGAAAAGAAGTGCTCGATTGAGCACGGCCAACAAGAAAAGTTACGTCACTATTCTTATTGCCTCTCCTCCTCGCTACGTCCCGTCGAAATGGTGAACCGAGGCGAGGAGGAGAGAAGCGAGGCTGCTTCCCCTCATTCTCAAATTTTCCAGGGGGACAATGACGTCGTAGCCCTCGCTTGATCGCGCCCTTCTCTTCAAAAAGTACGGCCATCCGTATGAGATATCGATGTATGAGTGATGTTTTGGAGCTCGTAGCGTCACGTTCAACGCTTCTGCGGCCTTATTTCGCGAAATCCAAATTTTGGTTCAGTATCTCTTTAAAGGGACACCAACACCCCCAAAAAAATTTGTTTATTTTTTGCCAGGCGATTTATTATGATGTCAGAAATCTGCTCAATCAATATTTTGCTACAGCGTCACATATCTTTTTAATATAGTAAAGAAAGATAACTGCTCGAAACCGAAACTGGACTGGGGTTGGAAGAAGAAATATGGGGGAGGAGAATGTTACCAGAAGTCGTGGCTGTGCTCCTTTCTTTTTTTTTTTTTCAATCCAAGTATTTGCAGCTGTTTAGAAGCCACAAACAATGGGTATCATATGTTTTTGTCTATTTTTAGTATTGAGTGTGTGCCTTCTATGACCCATGACTTTGATTAGCTTTGGTGGTTGTGCCTAAACCATAGAAAACAGCATGTGACCACGGAGAAGAGGGTGAGCGTAACCCAAACCTGCCAGTTCTCGATCGTCAATTTTTGGGCAAAGAAAAAAAATGAATTTCGAGCCACATATTGTGTTCTTGGTAGTCGGGCTCTCATATGTCATGTACAAATAAAAACCTTGGCGAGCATGAATACCCCGTCAGTGTCCCTTTAATGCAACATACACTCAAGTGATGCAAGACGCATCACTTGTGTGTACAAGTGATGGTGCAAGGTTGCTACATTGAGTCAAAAGTGACAAATGCTAGGAAAAGATAGCTTACATTCTAAAGAATCTGCTGAGCAACTAACAGCCTCTGCCTAGCCATTGATTAGGTGCGGCCACTCGGCTAACAGATCAAGAATTTCTCGCTTTTGCGACTTTCCAGCTTCGCAAGCCCGTGCTAATCTAAATGTGGTTAGTGGGTCTTGGGGTGCCTTTTCCTGGGTTGTTGCCATAATGTTGTGGAATGGGAACTTCGCTGAATCTATGTACACTGGGCATACAGGTATGCAGACATCAGCGGTATCTCTGAAAAAGCTGGCCGTAATTTTGACGTATGTCAATGCTTGTCACTACCTCCTGCAAATGATTGCTCAACAGTCATGTAGTTTATTTGAGAGAGGGGTAAAAGGAGGACCAAAGCACAAGTACTAGCAAGCACCAATGCCGGTTGTAAGGGGAGAGAAAACGTGAAAAGGATGACTGGAGGAAAAAAAATTTTAGCAGTGTTTATTTTTTTGTTGGCGCATTAAAGTCAATTGAGTGCATGCCAGCTTCAGTTTTAGTAACACAATGCACAATTTCCTTCTTTTTTTTTTTGCGAAATGGAGATAAAAGGAAACTAGGTGCTGACCTTGCAAGTGGTACTTTGCTTTTTCTTTTTGCTTACCGGTGCATCGCCAGCAATTTGACCCCACCGCCACCAGCAATGTTTGCCTCAATGCTCTGCCATTCTGAGACAGCCAAAATGCATCGGAAAACGGGATCTCTGCCTCTACATCTATTACTGCATGAACTCCACAACTTGACAAGCTTGAAATGCGTCACGTCACGGTTGCATACAAAACACTTTTTTTTTCTCTCTCTCCCTAGGGCATTGTCATCACGAGCGGCTCGTGGCTGGTATGTGCTGCGTTTCAACTTCTCCCGCCTTCCAAAGAGGCAGACGTGTCCTCGAGCTAGCCTTGCGATTTCACCTTGCATTGTTTGAGGGTTTTGGAGGCACGACATATGTTTTGCAAGAAGTCTCAGGTATGCATGTTCTCGGTTGAAAACAAAAATAGGGCTACAGACGAGGACGAGCAGAAGGGAACGGGACATGCCTTTCCTTGTTCAAGCACTGTTTGTGTTCTTGGTGCCTTTACCAAACTACCGTAGAATACTGTGCCTCCGCCCATTCCACACTAAGCGCCCACCCCCGAAATTTGAAACATCTGAAAAAATATGCACAGTTCATATATAGGGTGACCCAAGTCACCAGGCTCAGTCTATGATGGACCAAAAAAAATTGATGCCTGCATGTAGGAATCTAAACTTTTCGTCAAAGGTGTATTTCACAGGTCGGTTTTTTCTTGTAAAATTACGAAGTGTAGCTTTCGTTCTGTAAAAAATAGGGCCAAGAAACTTGCCACGGTCTACGGTGGGCGGCGACGCAGACAACCCAATCCAGTAGCGGGGTGTGTTTAGCGTTTGTATTGATAGATGGCTGGCATTGGGAGCAGCGTTCCAAGGTGCAGCCGACCAGCTAAAGAAAGCAGACGGCACACAGACGAAATCCGTTGGCAGCAAAAGCGCCGTCGTTATGCAGATGATGTTCATTTTAATAAACCACGGTAGTTGCGAGCCGTCGCGATAAGAAGGTAGCGCCATTTATCAATACGAACACTAAACACATCCCGCTACTCGACTTGGTCGTCTGCGTCACCATCCACTGTTGACCCTGGCAAGTTTCTTGGCCTTATTTTTTACAAAAAGAGAGCTACGCTTTGTAATTTTGCAAGAAAAAAAACGACCTGTGAAATACACCTTTTACGAAAAGTTTAGATTGCTACATGCAGGTGTCAATTTTTACGGTCCATTTTAGATCGAGCCTGGTGACTTGGGACACCCTATATAACCTGAAAAACCCAAATTTCATAAAAGATATTAGAAAAACTCGATTTCTCCCCTATTACGAGCTTGGAAAAATACCGCATAAATTTTATCCCTCTGTCTCTTTTATTTTTCTATATAAAAATTGAAGACAAAGGTTGCTAGGGTATAACGTGCGAAGGATTCAGGACGTTTCGAAGTTGGATTGAGCCTGGTGACTTGGGTCACCCTATGTATGTAAAACTGTAAATCTTCAAATTTTGAGTGGGCGCTTGCTCGGTATCTTACGGTATGCCCAGCAGTTTGAGTTAATGGTGACGCTATGCTTTCGCAGGCCCAGGAACTGAGAGGACCCAACGATGCTGCCAACGTGTATCCTTTGTACTTCTCTCACTTTTTAAACTGTATAGCTTGTAACAATTACCATGAGAGTCAAATGGATTGTCTTTAATGTGACCGTATAAATCGGTTTCTTAACGCACTGAGCTGAGATTCCGTACAGAGGTGGCCAAAGTTGATGCATTTTGTGCATCGAAATTTCAAAGAATGCATGGCATTGGTTTGGAGTAGAGTCTGGCTTTGACCTTGAGGCGACTTGAACAGGCCGGTGTCTTGGAGCTGCTCTTGTCATGCTGGGGTTTCTCTTTGACGATGCTTCAGTGGATTCTTGTTCGGGCTGTCCGAGTGCACAGCTCGCGACGCCGTCTATGGAAACTGCAAGAGTGTCATCATGCATGCAGGTGGGTCACTTCGTCCCCTCTTCCTTTCTTCACGCTGTTGCTGCTGACGTCTCTTTGTTCAGGAAAGGGGGGGGGGGGGGGGAAAGCATTGCAGCACGCACAATATCAGGTTGGCTCGTTACAGAAACACAGCCCACATTTGTTTTTTCTACATAAATACGGGTGTTGAGTGTACAGTTGCGTTTATTTTTCTTTCTTTTGCCTGCACTGGTTGTGAGGCAAGGGGAAAGGTTTTCTTTGTACTGGCCCTTAGTGGCACATGGCTTACTCTTAATGAAGTAACGTTTCCTGCAATCTACCGTTTTCCGAATTATTAGGCTGAACAGGGGGTGTAGCCGGGTTCTTAAGGCCGGTACTGTAGGCAATAATACGAAAGGGAACAAACTTCCTTGTTTTTTTATGTACCCACAAATATTTTAACGTAACGGAAAGTTTAGATCTCCAACTACGTGCTGTTTGACAGGTTTGAGGTTTAACAAAGTTTGTGGGAGCTGTGAAGCTGGAAAGAAGAAAGATGAACTGCTTTCTTTCATATTGTTGCTGATGGTACATAAGGGCACAGCACTCAGTCAACACTAGGGATGTCGCGAACCACCCTAGGTTCGATTTCGAAAGGTTTCGATATTTGCGAAGCGAACTGAGGTTCGATTTCGAAATATTTCGATATTTTCGTACCGACCGAGGTTCGAATTCGAAAAATTCGCAACTTTTGACCACAGCGGAGTTTCGAATTCAAAAATTTCGAAGCTTTCACGGTTTCTAAAATTTCGAATTCGAATATTTCGAATATTTTTTTACTTCAGGTTCGATAAATTCGAAGATTTCGAAATTCTTTGGAAAAAAATTCGAAAACTTCGAACGCTTCGATTTTTTATAGACATGAAGTTCGAACAATTCGAAGATTTTGAATTTCTTTCTGCATAAAGTTCGAAAAGTTCGAAGGTTTCGATTCTCTTTTAACGCTAAACTAAAAAAAAAAAAAAAAAACTTCGAAGATTTTGATTTTTTTTTTTTAATCCAAGTTTTCAAAGTTTGAAGTCCGATTTTCAAGTTTTTCCACAGTTTCAGTTTCAAATAACGTTTTCACGACTCACTGGTTTTCACAAAATCAAGTTTCGAAAAGTTAGGGTGTGATATCTAGATTCTGCGAAGTTGGTCAGGAAATTAAATGAGACGACGAGTGCCCCGGGCGTGCTAGAATATTTGTCAGTGCAGAATTGTGACCGCCAGCCCCGGGGGGGGGTCTTTAATCTGCATCGCGCAGTAGTGATTACACGAACACACTGTTTTACGAGACTCATCCAGTTCGAAACGGCCAGGGGCGAGCAGGAGGTTGAGGCTCAGAAGAACCTTGAAGCGACCTGGCAAACTAGCTCGCCACCCCTTGTACGCTGGTAGTAATTCGATCCGGTAAAGTTTATAATTGTCCTGGAGGTTTATTTTCTGGGACGGAGGAATCGCCTCCCAAAAAGCACAAAAGCTGACACAACTCGAGGTCAAGGAGCGTTCTACCACACAAGTGGCGTCGGAAGAGGAAAAACGGGGGGAAAGAGGGTAGCGGGGGGAGGGGGAGGGGGGGGGGGGCTTCATCCTCCTTCTTCCCCTTTCAGGTATTTCGGACTGTTAAAGAAAACAATACGGGGAAAGAGGGCGTGGTCGAGCTTATTTTAATCTGAAATAATTTATGCATATGTGTAGCTACAGTCGCTCTTCACTGCATAAAAGGTTGCGTAGATGGTCATTGTTAGAAACTCGTTGTCAGAAGGTACTACTCGTCACATGCTTAGTGGTTCGGAAGTTCAAAGCTGTCTTTTCAACCTAAATACCTGTGCCAATAGTAAAAAAAAAAAAAAAAATAAAAATAAAAAAAGAATAAACGCGGAAATAAAAAGCAGGAGAAAAACAAAAAACTATCAAGAATTCGTCGGAAGTGTTCTATTCTTGCGTATTCAGAGGTTCAGAACTTTGAAACAAGTTTCTTTTACCAAATTGTGTACAGGCTAAAAGAAACACGTCCCAGGAACGTGAAGCGTAAAAAAAAAAAGTTTTCTTTTAATGACGTGCTGAACTTAAACACTATTAGATATGACCTGTCTGTGGTGTTAATTTAAATACGATACCTCAAACAACTTAGACGAAAATAAATATCAAGTTTAGGTCATAATTGCATGCAGATACATGTTTGGACATTTCTCCGAAACTCACGTTGAATAACAATAATCACATCTTAAGACGGCACTTACCTAGGCTATACATAGATCATTCTTAAAAAAGTATACCATAAATAGCTCCGGCTAGAGCGCGCTTCAAATCTGGCACAAACGATAATTGTCAAAAACCCGTTGTCCTTCCTCGCCCCTTCGGGGATTTATTTCTTTAAACCTAAGCATGCCAGAACATTGAAATAAACGACATTGTCTTTCGTAAGAAACGCAGCACCGCGTGTAAAAGTTCGAGAAAAAAAACATACCAATGTACCCCACTACTTGAAATCAAATGAGACCGTCCGCCGGTCTTTCGAAGTTCGACGAACGTCAAACTTTTACCCTAAAAGTTCGAAGTTCGTCGAACTTCTGACATTTCAGAATTCGAAAGTTCGAAACTTTTCGAATTCTCTTGATAAATAAGTTCGAAAGTTCGAAATTCATCGAATTTTTTGGTCAGTCAAGTTCGAAAGTTCGACAAGCATCGAACCTTGCAGGGCAATAAGTTCGAAAGTTCGAAAAATATCGAATTTTTTAGCGTAATAAGTTCGACGGTTCGAAAAGCGTCGAAGTTCTTAGCTTAACAAGTTCGAAAATTCGACCTCCGTCGAATTTTACGATGTAGGAAATTCGAAAAATCGAAATCTTTCGAACCTTTCGAACCGCTTGATTCGATCATCGAAACTTAGATTCGAAAAAAGTTCGCGGCATCGCTAGTCAACACTAAGAACAGTGCTGATGGAGCCAAGATTTTCTTGGCTCAATTGAGTTGTGGAGGCCTGGATAGAGCTCCCCAAACGTCGCTTCTGTACCCGTTGTGGGTGACCTTCGCGCTGAAGCTCAAACAAAAAGTTCAGCGCAAAGAGAAAGGTGAAGAGGACCCAATACTCACCAACTGCTCTGGCGACCGGCGCAGTGGCATCACAAGGGGGGGAGGGGGGGAGGGGGGTGGATTGCCTCGGGTGCAGTGCTCAGGGGGGTGTCAAAGCGGGCCACGAGAGCGGGGGAAGGGTGTCACGGTGGGCCATTAGCCTGGGTGCCACTGACCCTAGTGACGCCGCTGGACCAGCGTCGTGGAGTCACATCATTCACAGACTTGCCGTTTGGAGAACAACACCGAGGTATTATTTATTGATGTTGGAAGAACTGGTCTCGAAGATTTCTTGGGTGAAACATGCATCATCGGGAAGGAGAGTGAAGAAGCTTCATTGAACAAACTTGGAGGCAGAAGATGAGCCACAATAGGTATAATAAAGACAGTGGGGGAGCACAATCTATGTTGCTGCAGCTCATTGGAGCCTGCAGGATCTATACTCGGCGTCAACTAAGTGTAGACCACTTACAACGTAACCGCTTATAGTGCAGGATCGGGTATAATGCGGCTTTTTTAAACCACCGGTTCGCCTCCTATAGAACTTCATGTAATTACATACCGCTTAAAATGCAGGCGCGCGAAGGGAAATACCGGTTATAGTGCGGTTTTCGGAACAGCCCGGCGACCGTGCTGACTGACCGACGCAGAGAGCACGCTTCCCTGTGCGACACTAGATAACTGCGCTAGCGCTAGGCGCAATTGGCACTTGCGGGGCAAGGAGGTTGCTCGAAGAAGCGGGGAGAAGTGAAGAGAGAGGCTTCAGTTGCCATAGCGACGGAGGGACGCACACATGTGTCGTTCACGTGTGTGCGTCCCTCCGCTGTGTTGGAAAGGTTGGAAACAACTGCAACGACAAACCAATCGCAGGTCGAGGAGACATGTTCGCGCGCGTTGCTTGCCGGTCGCAGGCCAGCTTCTTCTATCCGCAAACATGGCGTCTGTTGTGATCGTCGACGTAGACAGGGGGGTAAAGGTGGGTGAGGAGGAGTGGCAAATCCCGTGCGCCGGCACCCGGGGTCTCGAGTGAAAGATCGCGAAAGAGAGCGACAGAACACGAGAGAAAGAAAGCAACGTTGTCGGCTGAAGGACGACAGTCGCAATGGTAAACGCGAAGACTGAAAACTCTCAGCAATATAAACAATGATAATTTAACGTTGTAAGCTAAATTCTGAGCTATTCTAACGCTTATAAAAAGCAATATAGTCATCACGCTGCATTAACTTCCCTTCTGTCGAAATCTCGGAAATCTGGTGGTTGCGCGGTTTCGTATTCCTCAACCGCGCCCACCCGCGCCCACCCGCGCCCCACCGGCGAAGCCGAGTATCTGGTTTAGTTTAGCGTTGACGCGAGGCCGTACATCTGCGCGTTATGCAAAAAGAAAGCTTCGAAAGGAACGGGAATATCTTTCCACCGTTAAGTTCGTGGATTGTTGAAGTTCGTGAAACTGCTCTGATGATATAATTATATTCGTGAAATCGAAGGCAGTTGGTAACCATGTGTGGGACCCCGAGGGTCTGCCTGCATGCTCCGCCGCTTGCGGCAGTCAGAATGCATGGGAAAATGGCGGACCTTTTCCTCTAGAGTTAGTATGTATGATCTCTATGGACATAGACGGCGTGGTGGAAGCTCATTGTTCCGCGTAAAAGCGCTATCCTTGACTGTGAATTTTCGTTGTGTGTCGCTATGATAACCCAGCACGTACTAGAAGGGAAGATCCACCTACTCGTGCGGCGATGTCGTGGCGGCACTCTCAAGACAGGTGAAACGCCCGTGTCGTCGTGTTTGTTTACTTTGACTACAGTGGTGCTTTCTAAGCATTTGTGTTTTCGAACATCGCCCGGATTTCTTATTTGGAGCATTTCATGCCTGTGCTCAAGTTGAAGGTATTACTGGCGCATACCGTATAAAGGATGGGAATTTTCACGCGTTTTCATCACCGAAGAAAAGTGATTAGGGTTAGCAATCCTGAACGCTCGCAACCTCCGTCCACAACCCGCAACGCCGTTAAAAGGCTGTGCCAGGCAAAAGTCGCTCATTTCTTTCAAAGTGTGTGACACACTTGAGAGAGTAGTGTACTAGTCTGGTGAAATAGAGACTTTCCTCAAACTAAGCTTTATATTTCATCTAACATAAAATAAATTCTTTTACTAAGGTAAGTTGTCTCATGGCATGTATTTTGGCCTGAAAAATTGATGTTTTGGTTATAGCGCGGTACCGCTTATTCGCGACTCCAGCGACCTATAGGGGGCGCCACCACCAAACAAACATGGCGGCTGAGTCCAGGTCGCGTCGGCTCGGCCGCGCCGCCTGAATGGGTGGCGCATTCAATTTAACAAATTTTCTTTTGTTGAATGCCCAATTTTATGGGTATTTGAACTGAGACAGTTAAGTGTAGCCGGTGCGCATAAACTTGCCGAGCATAGTTTTGTTTTGCCGGTGTTTTTTTGTTCTTTTCATGTCAAACTTTATTTTTGGAGACTTCGTTCAAAATCGAAACTTTGGGCTCCCGAGGAACGGTATTAGACTCTAATTAATTTTCTTCGTCTAAGGAAAGCGGCGAGGGCTACAAAATTGTTCCACCGAGAGTAATTTTTAGCTAACTCGCATGCCTCGACCATGCGACTTATCTGTCCGCGAAATTGAGCTTTTGTGCCTGTCCGCGTTTCAAAAAGCAGCTCCAGTCGTGTGCTCGGTCAAGAACACAGGCTGCAGGAAAATTACGAAAATTAAGCAAGCGCTTCTTGAGCCAAGGAGCATGTCAACTCGCTGGCGCTTCACTAAGCAGCTGATACTCGTATTTCAATTCAGGTTTTAGTAGCAACCGAGAAGTCATTTTGACGAATATGCGGATTATGTATTATATTACGTACTATGGTCCCACTAAAGCGATATTAGTATATTCTTCGGGTTGAAATATAAACTTAATTAACTAACTATTAGGTGAACTGCTGAATAAAAGTATATTTGACAGACAGAGGGATACTACTTAAACTTAGCCAAATGGTTCTAGCCGGTAGAACGGAGACGAATGCGGACAAGCTGAGGAGAGTCTTCATTGGAGATTCACGCAGAACCTCTCTCCATTGAACTTGACTTCGAATCCTGAACGGATAAAATGAGTATTTTTTGTGGCCTGAGCAATGTAGACGTATATTGCTGCTGGCTTCGACAGGGGTTATAATATAAATACTGGAGGCGCGATAGATCCTAATGACGTGACAGCTTCTAACTTTGCGAGACGCGTCCCCCACCTTTTGAAAGCAGATAATTTCCCTCATTAATCATATGCAGCTAGCAGGTATTCTGAATCAAGTAATTGCGAAATTAGCCCAACTCCTTCAATGTGGTCTTTTTCGGCGAAAACCCGCCAAGATGAATAGCCAACGCACTGGCCGGCGTTAGTGGCTAAATTAACTTGAAGCTAATCGAGCACAACCAAACTCAAGGAAAGCAGCTATCGAACCTTCCCATTCACTTGACTCAGTTGACTGCAACATTGGTGTTCCCTCCAGTGAAACACTTCGTCTGTCGACCTCAGTCCACTGTTCTACATCCTTATAAAGAAACCACTCATCAGTTACCAAGCAGTCGTCACTTTGAATGTGATTAGAGACAGACGAGAAATCAAAACGTTTATCCGTGATTCCTCCTCATCCAAAAAATTGAAAGCACGCGACCGTGTGTTGTGGAGTAAACGGGCTTTCAGACACGTAATGGAAAGAAACAATCTACTGAGGCTTCATCACACTAATGAACACTCAGGCAAACTTAAGAAATTTTCGGACCTTCGCCAAATTACATTGCTCGCCCCCGCGCCGACAGCACGTGTCCGCGAAAGCCATCAGAGACGCGGCGGGGCGCGGAGCGACCTGGACCGACTGGTTCCCGGTTTTCCCGCTAGGCGGCGTCCGTTTTGCTGGAGTCGCGAATAGTGCGGATTTCCGCGACTCCCGCGACATACGTTATATGCGGTCTACACTGTATCTTGTGCTACGTTGTCGAAATTGGTGTAGCTTCTGTAGTGCCCCAATGTTTCCCTCACACAAGAGCACACGCGGATGAGATGCAAGATGAAGCCATCTGCTCTCGTGGCAGTGCGAAATCCTCGACAGCGTGGCACAAAATAGTTGAAGCAGGGTATAGCTTTCCTTTTCAAGGAGGTGACCGCGCTCACTCGAGCATGCGCTCGCACATTTTCGTACAAGAATCTTCTGAACCGGCAATTTCTGGAAACGATGTGCCCTCGACGCCTTAGAGGAAGTCTGTTTTTGTTGGCGCAGAAACCAGGAGCAAGGTGAGCCGAGCCATCATCTTCTCGCAGCCGACCGACGAGGTCTCCGCAAGAGACCGCTGGCTCCTGGAGTCGTGCAAGTTGCCAGAGTCTCAAGACACCGTCCCGTCTGATCCGCCTCGCAAAAAGAAAAAGTGCGAGGGCACCTAGAGAAAGCGGACTTTCCACCAACAGCACTAACTGCAAAAAAAAAAAAGAAAAAACTGAGATAAACATATGTTTACCACTGATGTGTATTGTACTGCCTCCGCACTCGTAAGCACTTCTCTCGAATAGAAGTTACAAAGAAATTATGGGTCATGCGTCGTTTTCAGGCTGCTTCCAAACATTATGTGAACCAAGCGTGGCACTGTGCAAGAACATTGATTCCTCAAAATTAGTACCTGATAGGGACAGATTCAGTTTTGAAGAGTCGAGTTTCGTAATGTTCGTGGTGATCGTTTGAGCAGCCGATTAGACCTTTTGCAAAACGTGCAGCGCCTTCCGTGAGGCAAAAAGGAAAGTCTGGGAACTGGCTGTATGGTAGAGCCGGTCAAAGCAGACGAACGAGGCAACGACGCGGGCAAGCAACTGCTGCCAAAGTGGATGTAATGCATTATCGTTTGGGATCCTCTGCACTTTGGCCTTGATCTGCCTCGGTGTGGCTGCATGTTGGCGTGCAAGACTCTTTTCAAAACCCCATCAAGTAACGTTGGCAGTTGCCACTTTAGACGTAGGCTAGGTGGCGCTAGCTACCACCCGTTACAAAGGGTATAGCCATTCACATCCATCCATCCATTGGGGACGACGAGCGTGATTAGATCAGGGTCCTTGCCGAACACAGACACAGTACCCGTTCTCGGTGCAATCCAGGCCAAATTCATGCACAATGACGGTGCAGCCCCCCAATTTCAAGAGATGTTCCGAGCATGTGCCAAAACAATATTGAGCTCAAATAACTGACGCTGCCACTAGATGGTGAGCACTTTTGAAAAGGGTCAACTATGCGCCGACTTGGGTCTTCCCACTAAATTTAGCTATCGAGCAACAACAGGCGGAAGTACACAACCATCTGGTGTGGTGCCGTTACGGTGGCTAGAAGGGGGAGGTGGCAGAACTGCGGTGCGACGGAGAGAGCAGCCGGTCAGGATGCAGCGGTGGCGCTGCTGTCGCCACTGAGGTGCCCGTCCGCTCGCGCATCCGCTCCGATGCGTGCGCTTTGGTACTTGCTCCGAGCGTTCGTGCAGCGCTTGAAATGAATGCCTTTAATTAGGCTAACTTCCACCAAGCTCCACTGACTTCGAACGTGTGGCTAAAGCAACCCCCTAATAAATCTGCTAATCATTTTATAATGATTTAGTTGCGCGTGGGTGCCCAAGGCTCTCGATACACTGAAGTGTTATCAACGAGAGAAACTACTGTAAAACCTTTTTTTTTTCCAAGGCCCTACTTTTCGCGAATTTCACAAATTAATCAAATTTGCAAAATTTAGGGGCACGCGAAAATACCGGCCTCTAGAAGCCCTGAATTGCGTCCTCCAGAATTCGCAAAATTAATTGGTCACGAATATGTCTCTCTTCACGATTCTCGAAAACATGGGGCCGCGAAATGTTTTACACTATTTAGTTCAGCTGGTTGGTTCATGATCATCAAATGAAGGAAGACCGCGCAGGATGCAACGAGCACAATTTATGCATTTTGTTTTATTTATTTCTGGTCTCTAGTGAACGTGTATAGGTCGGCTAGTAGCGTTGGGTTGTCTGGTGCTTGACAAGAAATGGGCATGGTTCGTTGAGATCGTCAACATTCGCACTTGAAAGGGGGGAAGGGGGGGAAGAACAATCGATTAATCAATGAAGTTTCACACCTGGTAGATAGGGGCCACAAGGGCCCATATCTGACACCTTTTAACAAATAGAAAGAAGACCTTCATTTGAATATTCAAACCTGTATTCTCACTTATTTACAAAACAACCGATATTAAAAAAAATGTACAGAAAGTAGTTTGGACGGTAACCAGAAACGGAAATCACGTATGCCTCAGCTTGAGGTACTTCATCTTGTCCCTCTTGCCTTGTCTGGACGCATTCTGAGCTGCAACAAGGAAATGCATTCTAGTCAGCACAAAGAAACAAATAAACTTGATTTGTCACTTCAACAGTGTGCTCTGCGCAGCCAACCAAGTTCAGTCTGTTTTTGGAGAGGCAGGAGATGGAAGGTCCCTTACGCTGTTCGCCCTAACTTGTTGAAGGTGAAACAGTATGTGAATCCATCTTCCATCGTTTCAACTAGGTCCTTGAGTGCCTGGGACAGGTAAAGAAGGCCTCCCCTGTCCATGTAGTTTGTCAGGCATGACTCCCCTGGGAGCGAGGGCGAATCCTTGGGCTGAAGAAGCAACCTCGAACACTCTTCGCACTTGGTTTTCTTCAGCATTTGGCGGACAACATAGCCACTAACATAGTAGGTTATCCGAGAGTCGGTTTTTGATGCAACTACGTCACCGTGCTCTGGCAATGCACTACATGCTTTTATCATCTCATGAGCCTCGTTCAAGTAGCCCACATCCAAGAGATCGTCCAGCTTGTTTTGCAGTTCCGCCGGGTCAGAGTTTCTGCGAGGATCAAGAAGGCTGTTTAAGAGTCCTTGTGAAATGTTGCCGCTTGTAGGTGACCGGGCTAAGCTGTAAAAGCTCAGGCAGTTCACTGAAATCAAGAACTGCGTTGGCGTGGGGTGGTCGTTGCAGCCTGACATCTGTCTCAAGATGCCAAACAGGTTCTCGGTAGAGTCCTGATTGAGACGTGTGGCCCTCAAATACTTGAATCCCAAGGTCTTTGTCACGTATGTCAGGAGCGAGAGTGTGCTTGCAAGAGTCACCCGAAAGCCTTCAGCTGTAGCTTGGCTCCAAAACCCCAGCTTTCCAACAGTGGCTTCCCAGATGTCAAGGTATTGTTGAAACCTCTTGATGTGCTTGACTTGTTCCGTCTCTGGTCTCAAACCAGTTCGGCGGTGCCTTGAAGTCACGGAAGCGATGAGGTCCCTCAGCATAGCGACAAACAATGAAGTGGCCACTGGGCTCCCAGGTATATAACAGCTCTCCACTTGACGTCTGTATACATAAAGGCCCCTCAGTACCTCGTCACTGAAGAATCTAAATGCGAGATTCACTCGCATCTTCTCGAATCCATTCGGCTGAAAAACAGCCATTGTTACGTGCGGCATTGCTTTGAGAGGCACAGTACTTGCACTGTCGCACTTCCATGCTTCTTTTACGAATTCGCTGCTCACTCGTCCATCTGGAGTCTGAAGCCCTGTTGAAGATATAGAGTTCCGCGCACATTTTACATGGTGCGGGAAGTCTGAAATAAAGTGTAGATAACGACTCGAATCCACTGGATGTTGAACTTTACAGACTGTCTTCGTGAGCTTACCGGTGATACCAAACATTTTCCACATACTCCTGTTCCAGGAGGCGCCATCGCATGTGATGAAATCAACAAAAAGTCCAGACTTCTCCGCAGAAATCACAGCATCCACAACGATTCTGGACAGTACATCTGCCTTCACATTACCTCGTGCGCGTAAGATGCCGAGGATCTGCTGCCATTTGCCTGTGAACGGCTAAAACAGAACCTCAAGCCCGTGGTCGCAAGTGACACCTTCATGACCCGCAGAGCTGTAGCTGCCGAGGTCAACAAATCCATCGATGAGTCCTTTTTTGGTTGAACATCAGGCTTTCTGAAAGCTTCATTTCATCAACAAGAATCCCTCCGTGTCGCCGGTATGGATCGATGTCCTTTGACTTCTCGGCTATTGCTGCAAACACCTTCTCATTGAAGCCAAAGCTGCTTTTGTAAGTTTTGACATATGTCCGTAGGCACGAAGGGCTTGGGACTACCATGAGCTTGTGTGTTCGAATATGCTTGTACAGTCGAGGGCTCTTCACGTGCATGACAATGCACTCAAGTATCCATTCTTGATCAAACTTCATACCGTTGGTCCCCTTCCTCGTCGAAGCTTCAAAGCATGCCCATATTTGCAACTGCTGCTTTTTGAACAGGCCTTCTATCTTCCGCTCCAAACTAGCGGTACTGGTGGACTCGTTCTCCGTCTTCATCTTTTCAGTGTCTTTCTTCAGGTTTGTGATGTTGCGCTTCTGTCGTCGAAGTTGCGCATTTTTTCTAATCACCTTTCGTGATGCCTCAACACGGGTCTGTTTTGCTCTTGTGCGCTTGTAAGAAGCCTGGTTCAAGAGCAACCTGCGTAGATATTTGCATTGCAGGCATCGCTTTTCATTTTGCGAAACTCCAGCTCATTTCACGCTGTGAAACTTGCCAGCATATATCTTGTGCTTTGTTTTTGTTTGCATCATGTCAATGCCCGCCACCATCTCAAACCCTTCACAAGGAACAAGGGTACCCATCTCCGGAAGCAGGTCCTTCACAGCATCAGCGCTGTCGACATCCACGGTTGTCACCACTGATCCGTGTTTGTATGCGGTGCAGTGGATACTTGTCTCGCTAGTAGAGCACAAAAGCAGCTTTTGAAACTAGAGAGTTTCAACATTTGGTGCACACACTGAAAACGCTACGACGTTCGGTGCTTTCAAGATCGCGTGCTTTGCCCGGTATTTGTTTGGAAGATCCTCTTCTTTAATGCTCTCTAACTTTTCTTTGGTGCTGGGCTGCGTCACTGGTGTGATGTTGGCGATGCGCTCGCCTTCACAAATGACGTCGTCCCTCTTTTGCTTTCGTGGCACGCCGCCGTTGGACGTCACCGGCTTCCTCTTTGACGGCAGTTTCTTCGACAGGTACGCGGGGATGTTCGGAAACAAAGTTGGGATTGCATCGGCTGTCAGGCAAGGGCGACCACGGCCAATTTCCACCATCTCGCCGTTAATGACGTGCGTGTAGTTGCGAACCAGGGCCGTAACCAGGGGGGGGGTTAGGGGGTCCTGACTCCCCCCCCCCCCGAAAGTTTTTTCTGGATACGGCCCTGGTCGGTGCACTGGTAGCCAGCCGATTTTTATCTCCACCTCTGCGCACGCGCAGTGGCGCCGGTCGGCTACCGGGTACCAAACCGGGACCGGTTCTCCGGTTTGCTGTAGCTCTTCATTATATGCCACCGATGCACATGATTCATAGGCGAAAATAAGGCAATAGACACTTTCAAAATGGCCACCGTTGTCCCCGAAACCCCCCCCCCCCCCCCCCCCCCCCCCCCCCCCGAAATTTTTTTCTGGGTACGGCCCTGTTGCGAACTACTAATCTCTCGTCAAAATGACCTTCACAGACTACGGAGTTTTTCTCGAGAG